AGGAAACCCCATATCTGACTAACGACGCGGCTCTCTTTTGTTCACTTTTTGGACTGAACCCTTCTTCCAGTGTTCCAGGACCAACGGACGATATTCGCCATACAGAAAATCGACAGATTGACCTGCAAAACTTGGAGGAAGTCAGTACGAGTAATTTGGATGCCGAGAATGGGACAACTTACCTGACCGGAGATGCAGACAAAGGACAATACCTTGACGTCCATGTTGACGCGTCAAAGATGTCTATGATAAAAGAAAATGCAGTATTTGACCAGTCAGTACACCCCCCCTACGTACCGCACTCAAAGGAGGTCTCATTCAATAGGCATCGCGGCGGAGAAAACCTGCCATTCTTCATGCTTAATAGAGAAGACGCCGGTTGGACCAGAACAGAAGAAATCGGAAGAAACGGGAGAAACACTTACGAAGAATTTAGGCCTACGCTCGGTGAACGAGACCGTCCCTCTAATTCGGACCCGAATAGAAATCGCGTCTCGCAGACGACGAGTGGAGATCGCCTGCGAGAATCAATTTGGTCCGCGTTCTCGAATTTCGACGCGGAAACCTTAGCATATTTGTTGACGAGGGTGCGGACGCTCCTGGGCGAAGTCCCCATTGAATTAGGCCTTAAAAGAATATATGAGTATGCGAATGGGATCGGCCTGCTTACCGTCAATAACAAAGTCGAAATGGAGAACACCGTCGAGGACGCGCAAGCCCTCCACTCGAAGACAGGGGATCTACTTAGAGAAATAAAAGGATTGACGAAAGGAATAGGTCAGTGTGGCCGTCCCAGAACTGCCATCTGTCTTGAAGAACCCGAACGACAGCTCGAACGTACCTTAGTTACCCGCGCAATGGCACCAATCCCTTCCTTCGCTACTCATCCCCCTCCTCCTCGGTTTGCGGTAACCGAATACGGCCTACGTGCACTCGCTCCTTTTGCAGCACTAGCCGGTATGTCGAATCGTCCCCCTCCTATCCCGCGTGATGGACTGAATCAATCCCACCTATCTGGAACACCTCCCTTGGATTCGGAATATCCTACTTGCCAAGTGTCAATCACCTCTGGTAAAGCTCAAGCCTTACCGTCGACAGAAAGTAAAGAAGGTACGACGTACTCTTATATTTTTGATGACGCTACGCTCGTCCACGCGCCCTCCATATGGACCGGAGAGCCCGACGTCCGTCGTGTCCGCGGTATGCTAAACGTCGTGGTAGACCGAGAGACCGAGATCGCTGAACCCACTTGGGAAGGGCTCGCGCTCGCTCTGGATGAAGAACAAGATCTAAAGACGAGAGAAGTCAGGGAGGAAATAGAAGACGATGACGTACCTATGCTTAGTTTAGAGGAAGAGGAACTAGAAGAGGGAGAAATAGAGGAAGAATGGAAAAGGCAGAGGAAGGAACGTATGAAGGAACTCTATTCGATCGAAGAGAATGATCGAGACTCGTGGCCAGACCCAGAGTCCCAGATCTCCGCTGTACCTCCGATTTCCGCGGAAATCAGGCTTGATTCCGCATCCCCGAACTCCCTCAAATGCTCGGCCGACCCAAGCCTTAACCCTAGCAGACCGTCCGGCGCTACAGGCTTCATCGATTGGGACTCTAAGTCTCGATCGTACTTCGAACAGTCTCTCTATTCTCAGTCACCTCAGACGCTTCCCCCTCCTCTAGCTTTTCCACTAGGACCTCCTCGACCTCCTCCCTCGCCTGACGCCTCCGCCGGATCATGCGCATTCGTGTCCCAAGAAGACCAGACGGATGAAGATGACGAGGTAGTATTGGTAGAAAGGAATGGGGTAAACGGACCTCAGACGTTAAGGTACGTACCTCCTCATCGCCGTAAACTGACATCTAAGCTAGGTACATCCTCGGAGAATGTTTCTCTCCTCGAGGACCCAGTGGTTCGACGTAAACCCACACCATCCTACTACAGGAGCCAGGATCCACGCCGACGAAATGGACATTTGAGATCGGACCACGCAGCGGTGCGTGCAGAACTGCTGTCTCTTGCCTCCTGCTGTCCGTCAACGACCCCCTGCTCTACGCCGGAGTACTCCCCCACGATCTGGTCACTTCCCCCAGCAGCTCCTCCAGTATCGGCATTCACGGCTAACGTAAACGTACCTACACTGGAAGGCCTTCGAACCACATCCCCTTCGGACGACTTTACGCTTGATAGCTCCCTATGCCGCTTCTGGAACGAGGCAAGAAGGTCCCTATTTCAAGAAGACCTCCCCGCGTACGTCCCTCTTGACTCAACGGGCAAGAAGACTACTTACAGCGACGACGTATCGATGCATTCGACGAACACCCCCTCAATCAAATCTCATCTACCTTCTGTCACAATGACCCCCACTCTACCTGGACAACCTGTCTCCAGGCAGAAACAACGCGAGCTCGAACATGAGCTCGATAAGATTCTCGTGGTAGCCCCCAGTCCCGAAGAGACTAAGGATGGACACGACGACTCTGAAGAATCGGAATGGTCCAACACGGATCTTCAGGCCCTTCAATACACCCAACCCCTTATCGTTAACGGTAATCCTATATTCCCCATTCGATCTGGATCCCTTCCCTTCACGTACATCTCCCTTCGCTCTGAACGGCTTCTTAATCCCCTTCCGCCTCGCGACACCGTACCCTTTCTCAACAACATCTGGCATGGCCAGGACGACCTCAAGACCAGAAGGGAATTCATTCAGGACTACCATACGCTAGGCGAATGGGCCGAGCGGGACCTATGTCTACCCTTCGTCGCTAGGACCTACGCACGCGGACTCGACGACGACAGCAACAGTTGGTTGCGGGACCGATTTTGACGTATGTTTCGAATCAAGCAAGGCTTTAGAGGCAACCCCTACCTTCATGGAGAAGAAGAGGCACATCTATGGCAAATTAAGTATTTTTACTACTCTACTCGGTCCCACCAGCACTGCAGTTATTCGACTCACTTTCGCAACCATATCGATGTTATGCTTCACTTCTGCCCTTATGGAGAAGAAACCGTGGCCAACATTCACCGACGACGTATCGCTGGTGAACTTGGAGACGTGGGGCAGTCCGCCTAGTGCGACGACCTACCAATTAACGGAGGTACGTTCCCGAAATCTTTTAGGGAACGCATCCACTAATCGTCTCGTTCGACGATTAGGTCCTCAGACCGATTTTCTTTATCTCAGCTCCATTACTTCGATTTCGATTGCCGTTGACCGTTGTCAACGCATTTGCCTTCAGACGTTTTTAAAGGACTTTTCCTTTCCTTTTCCCCTTTTTCTGTTAGACACTTGTAACCTGGACTTGACTCGACAACTGCAGCTCACCCTAAGGACCCTTTTCGGATCGCGCGTAAGTACATTGCCTCACTTAGCAATGACCTTCGCGCTCACAGACCTTTTCATAGACACTTACCTCACGTGCATTCGATATTCTGGACAGACCTTACCAATAGACTTTTCCCTTCACCGCCAGTGGCAGGGAGGGCTCGTCAATGTTGACGAGTTTCTTCTCGCCGTCGTCATCCTTGACGCTGGCCATATCGACTCGCACGAACCTTCTTCGTACGTACATAGACCTGGACTCGCTCGTTTTTTCTTTAGATATTTCTTCATGTATTCTGACTCGGACTTGAATGTTTTCTTTTATATTTGTATCGGACATCTTGCATACCTCATTTTACGGACAGACACTAGCCTCGGACTTGATCATTTCTTCCTTCTTCTTCTTATTTTTTCTTACTTTGTTTTGACTCGGACATTCCTAGTGTACATGTACTCCTTGCTCGCCAGATCAGCCTTCCGACCAATAGAGTCTTTTGACTCAAACCTCTCAAAGAACACTCATAAGAACAATATCAGGAAAGGGCTCAATAAGAGCAAGAGAAACCTGAGTGAAGTAACTCGAAATAGAAAATCCAAATGCATTCAACATGCACTTAGGATTTCTATCGACAAGCTCATTCTCTCTGTCCTAAAATATCGCCGAAGACTCGCACGAAACTCGGACAAGTCCCTGAACATTTCTGACACTGCTTCAAGGATGAAAGCCTCAATACCTACCTGTCAAGTTGACTCTCCTCAAGTCCATTTCTACGCTATTGTCAGAAAATCTGATGACCTCTCAAAAAGAGACATAGCAAGTACAGATATTCGAAAGACTCATTTAAAGGAACATCAGTTTTCCTTTGGACAATCCTTCATCGGAATAAATTCTAGGATAAATTCTAATTTATTCTACCCTCAATTGGAACCTGACGATGAATGTATCTATGAGATGAGTGGAGCAGAAGTGCTTACTGCTTATAAGAGAGTCGACAAGAAAGTCAAGCCAGTCCCAGGAGTATTTCCAGAGGAATCCCGTGTCCGTCGACAATTTCCAGAAAACCCTCTCGATTCCTTGCCACCACTATCGTGCTGTCCACCCCAGTTCAAGGAAAATGGTCGGCTGACTCAAGAACGTCTAGATGGCATGAACATAAATCCAGATGGATTTCTTAGCTTGGAAGAAGAAAATCTGTTTAAGCATATCCTTCAGCTTAATCAAAACAGTCTTGTCTTTGAAGAAGAACATCGCGGGACCTTTCGAGAAGATTACTTTACTCCATACATTATTCCAACTGTGCCTCATATTCCTTGGGCTTACACCAATATTCCCATACCACCTGGTATCAGGGAAAAGGTAGTCACACTACTCAAGGAAAAGATGGCAGCAAGCATGTATGAGCAAAGTCAATCATCTTATCGATCTCGCTGGTTCTGTGTTCTCAAGAAAAGTGGCAAACTTAGGTTAGTCCATGACCTTCAACCACTGAATGCAGTGACTATTCGTGATGCAGGACTTCCTCCCATTCTGGATGCCTTTGTTGAACCCTTCGCAGGACGTCGATGTTATACGGCATTTGATCTCTATTGGGGATTTGATGCTAGAAAGATACATGAGAAGAGTCGCGATATGACAGCATTCCTATCACCTCTAGGCCTTCTTCGATTGACTTCCCTCCCTACTGGCTTTACAAATTCACCTGCCGAATTTCAAGCTTGCATGGCTTTTATTCTTCAAGACGAAATGCCTCATACTGCTGACATCTTCATAGATGACCTTCCCATCAAAGGTCCTCTGACTGAGTATCTTGATGAAAATGGAGTGCCAGAAGTGTTAAAGGAAAACCCTGGAATCCGAAGATTCATTTGGGAACATGCCTGTGATGTACATCGAATCATGCATCGTGTAGGCCATGCTGGAGGAACATTTTCACCAAGCAAAGTTCAACTTGCTCGCAGAGAAGTTGTGATTGTAGGTCACAAGTGTACACCTGAAGGAAGAATTCCAGATCCTAACAAGATTGAAAAGGTTTTAAATTGGCCCATCCTTACCACTGTCAAAGAAGTCCGTGGATTCCTAGGACTTTGTGGAACAGTGCGTATTTGGATCAAGAACTACTCAGCCATGGCTCGACCCTTGACTGAGCTTATTCGCCATGACACTGACTTTGAGTGGGATGACCGTCGACAAGAAGCCTTCGATAACCTGAAGATGTTGATTACCTCTGCACCTGCCCTAAAGCCTATTGACTACTCCTCTGATTTGCCTGTAGTTCTCTCTGTGGATTCAAGCTACATTGCTGTTGGATTCATTCTTTCACAAAGAGATGAACAAGGACACAAACGGCCAGCTCGCTATGGATCAATTCCTATGAATGAACGAGAAGCACGATACTCCCAACCTAAGTTGGAACTATATGGACTCTTTCGTGCCCTTAGAGCATATCGCCTCTACCTTGTAGGTGTCAAGAAACTGCAAGTGGAAGTTGATGCCAAGTACATCAAAGGAATGCTCAATGAACCTGACTTACAGCCCAATGCTTCTGTCAATCGCTGGATTCAAGGAATATTACTCTTCGATTTTGAGTTAATTCATATCCCAGCTGAACGTCATAAAGGACCAGATGCCCTATCACGTCGTGGACTTGGAGAAGGAGAAGAAGTGAAAGAAGAAGATGATGCTTGGTTGGATGAAATTGCTCTCTACACACTGCCACATGAAGTCACATTGGACAATGATGCATTTCAGGATTATAATCCTTTAAAGCTCATTCCTGTGTATATTTCCACAGATTCCAAACAAGACCAGACTATGCGGCAAATCCACAAGTTTCTAAGCACCTTAGAGACCCCAGAATTTCTATCACTTCAAGAACGCAAGAGGTTTATTACCAAAGCAAGTCGATTCTTTATTCGAAATGGCAATATGTATCGACGAGCTGGACAACGACCCCCTCTAAAAGTTATTTTCTCAGCTAACAAGAGACTTAGCATTCTGGAAAGTGCACATGAAGGACAAGGACATCGTGGAGAGTATGCAGTAATGCGAATGCTCAAAGAACGATTTTACTGGCCAAATATGTGGAATGATGTTCATCAACATGTTCGATCCTGTCATCAGTGTCAGCTCAGAAGCACTCGTAAAGTTGAAGTCCCTCTGACAATCTCTGCACCTGTGACACTGTTCACCAAGATATACTTGGATATCATGTTTATGCCCAAGGCAAAAGGATTCAAGTATATCATTGCAGCCAGAGATGATCTTTCTCGAGCTGCAGAAGGACGTGCCTTAAGAGATGCAACTTCACATGCCATTGCCAAGTTTCTATGGGAAGAAATCTTCTGTCGATATGGTGCCATTGGACAAGTTACCACTGACAATGGACCTGAATTCAAGAAAGCATTCAATACACTTACCAGACGGTATGGTGTACCTCAAGTTTCAATATCTGCCTACAATTCCAAGGCAAATGGTGTAGTGGAAAGAGGTCATGCGATTATTCGTGAATCCATAGTGAAAGCCTGTGATGGGAAAGTCAAAGACTGGCCAGACTATGTTCCCCATGCTTTCTTTGCAGACAAAATCACTATCAGTCGATCAACAGGATTCTCACCTTACTATTTGCTATTTGGAGTTCACCCAGTCTTACCTTTCGATCTCTTGGAAGCATCATTTCTAGTGGAAGGTTTCCACTCTGGAATGTCTACAACTGATTTGCTTGCACTGCGAATCCAGCAACTTTCAAAGAAGGATCAAGATCTGGAAAAGGCTGCAGAAGTTCTCGCAAAGACACGTTTACGCTCAAAGGCTCAATTTGAGAAGAAGTTTGAGCATAGAATTCGAGTTGAAAGTTTCAAGCCTGGAGATCTCGTACTTGTACGAAACACTGCCATTGAAAGATCCTTGAATCGCAAGACTAAACCCCGGTACTTAGGACCCTATGAAGTAGTTCGACGGACCTTCAAAGGAGCCTATATCGTGAAAGAGCTTAATGGAAACCTCTGGAAACAGGGAATAGCGGCCTTTCGATTGCTACCATATATCTCAAGAGATGACTCAAGGCTTCAAGATCTTGCAGGAAGAATAGAAGAAATTGGAAGGCCATCGCAAAAGCATATCACTGAATTTAGTGACTTGGATTCAAGTGACTCAAGTGAAGAGTCTACTAGCAATCTTGAAGATGTCTTCTATGAGCATATATCAAATCACTAGACAACATAGTCTATGTGAAGAAGTAGTCAAGAACGTACTTGACTAGTGGCTAGAGAATATCTGAATTCTCTATCTCAAATACTTCTAGACAGAGTGGTCTAGAAAGATATTTTTGTCAAGACCACATTTCTTCAATTTGATTCTCAGAAGAAAAGATATCGTCAAGTGAAATGCCCAAAGAAGTCCAACAAAGTCATAGAAGAAGAAAAGTTTAGAGAAGAGTCAAACTGAAAAATCATTGTTGTATCAAGAAAGTGCCTGAAAAGTGTCTACCGTGTCTAAAAAGTGTCAAAGTATCATCTATTGTCTATCATCTATTGTCTATCATTTATTGTCTATCGTCTATCGTCTATCGTCTATCGTCTATCGTCTATCGTCTATCGTCTATCGTCTATCGTCTATCGTCTATCGCCTATCGCCTATCGCCTATCGCCTATCGCTCAATATTTACTTTTACCTGACACAGAAGATACTAGCACTAGATCCGATGAGAGTTTCTCTCTCTAAGCACTTTCAGTGAAGCTGTATTGTGAAGTTCCATTTTTTTTTTTCTTCTTTTCCCTGCATCCTTTGCAACTGGGGACAGTTGTCTTTTCAAGTCACCCCCACTTGTCCTGCACCAAAAGTGTTTGGCATATGGACAGATCACTTCGATATTCAACACTGAATACGAAAGTCCAAGACAATGTCACACTGCAGATACGACAATAATTAGGGTATGCCAATGACAACAAGTACAATAAATGACCTCCTCAACCTCAAGTCCGACTTTAATTCAAACTGACAACGTATGCCTCAAATCTTCTACAGATGAAGAGGAAGAGTGACGAGAATGAAGAATGGAAGGTAAAGAACGTGAGGAATGTACCAATGACGATGAAGTCTGAGCCAAAGTAGTCAAAGAATCCAAGGGAGGGGCTGATGAAGATGAAGGAGTGGAAGGGACAATAACTGTCTTGAAGTGAATAGAAGACAATGAGACCATTGCAATAGGAGCTGCTGCATGGTTGCGTGCACCACGAGAAATGCGTCGAGGAGCAAAGAACATACACCAAAGCCACAAGGCGACCATGATTAACATCAAAGTACCAAGGAGGACGACGACTCCAATTACTGTTGGCTTAGAGACCGTGGTATAAGCCAAAGGAGTGGGAGCAGCTGAGGAAGACTCCAGGATGATCCTAAAGAAGCGATAGGTCAGAAAAAGACATTAGACTGATACTCTGAACACGCATGCAAGGTGACACACGTTGTAGTGGCCATGAGGCAGTTTCAGAATCTGAAAGTCGAATGTGAATATGACCAAACCAGACTAGAAGGAGTAAGACTTACCTAATCTCAAGACAGGTGGATCTGAAACTCGAATCTATCTGAAGGAGACAGCTTCTAAAGACAAGTATCATCGCCTGGCAGTGCCACGTCAGCAGTAGGCGCTTAACTGGACCTTCAACACTGGTAAAGTCTGTGTATGCTCAGAAAAGACCGGAAATGACTGCAGATCAGTCAAGACTATTGTTTATTCGCATCTTCAAGCATGTTACTTTACGGTGACATGATGATGAATAAATAATCTATAAATTGGCGAGGTGAAGATAGGCAACATAATGAATATGGATCAAAGTACATGTTTTACGATGACGGTCCTCCTCCTGAACTCCTAGAGCGATCTTCACGTTTAATAATGTACCTCATTATAAGATACACTCCACAAAGGAAGGCTACGACTCCACAGATGATACCAAAGATTTCAAGAAACACCTTCGTACTTGAAGGAGGAGGCTCCAAAGCCTTCATTTCTTCGATCTACAAGGGGATCACTCTTTAATGAGTTATGAAGAGTTTAAATGATCTGAAGATACGTACCCAGCTCATATTGTCAAAAGGGTTTTTCAACGTATTCTCAACTTCTGAGAAAATACCAACTGTTCAAAGTACCGCGCAAGCACCTAATTCGTCCACAAAAGATCCTATGGACTTAGAGATATGTCCAGAAGGTCTGAATAGGATGCTTAGCAAACTTACCAAAGTTTACGATAATACTGGCAAGTACACACTTCAGAAGAAAGAGTGCGGTGTTTGAAGAAAGAAGAGTGCGTCACTCAACTCAGCTTTCTTGAACAATAACTGATCAAACCTTCAATTTCGGCAATCTCCAAGTGATACCAGATAAGATAAGGAGTCTCAGAAAGGAAGGTGTAGTGGGCAAAGTGAAGCCACCTGGCCATACAAGCACCAACTGATCGAAAGACCTTAATATCTGATGCACGATCATCAAATCTTGATCGATCGACAACTGAGCTCTCCATTCCTTACAGAATGGACTTTTCATTCTTGAAGCACTAGGCCATTGAGTCATCAAGACTCACCATGACTCATAAAGCCCCTAATGAGTCAGAAAAGGCCATTGTGACTCATCAAAAGATCATTCTGACTCATCTTAAGTCATTCTTAGTCATCGGATGCCCCTATGAGTCATCAGACACCCCTATGAGTCAGGAAAGAATGCAGATTTGTAAGTAAAGAATCCTTTAGAAGCATCTGGAATCAGCCTGAGACTGGTTTAGACTACTCCAGGCTGAAAATAGATGACTCAAGCATGGATTCTAGTGCTAAATTCATGTTTCATTAATAAGCACCTGCATTCTCTCATCAAGTAAGTGAAGCAAGTTCTTACAAATTTAGCTTGGTCATCCATAGCACAGCCCCTTTCTAGACTGTATATAATGAGCCCCTTATTTCCTGTAGTAATGTGCCTGTGCCCCTCAAGTTCCTGTAATTTCCCTAAAGTTCTGCCCCAAATTCTATCATTTCTAAAGTCCTGCAAAGCTCAAAGTCCCCAAGCTTGACACTCTCTCTTTGTGAAGTGCAAGTGAAAAGCCTGAAGCGATCTGCCACTTCTGCTGCTTTCAAATTTTCTCAACACCTACTCTTTTCTTAAGAAAAGCTGGTCATTGTACCTTCGTGTATCTTTGACTTTGTCTTAACCTGAGATTGCTATCCTAAATCCCTTTCCTTTCTCTTGTGAACTCTAAGGCATACCTTGCTTAAGACTTCACTTACCTTAAAAACACACTCCTTTCAGTGGTATAGCCAGTCAAGTCTACTTTATTGTCAGACTACACGGTAAACCTCCCCTCACCCCAAACGAACAACAGGAAAGACCCGGTGTAACGTCTCACCTGGAAACTTTTCTGCAGAAGAGAAACCTTTGGCCTCTCATCTCTTTGAGAGTGTTTTTTCTTTTTCTGACCGACACCGGTCACCGTGATCATCCCAGAAACAGAAAGAATTCATGATACAGTAGCCTTAGTTGACACCAGTAGCACTGGGTCATGCATAAATTATAATTTCATCAAAAGACACGGAATTGAAACCTCTAGATTCGATCAACCAATCCAAGTCTATAACACGGATAACAGCGAGAATTCTCAGAGACCGATCACAGAATATGTTCGACTCACACTTCGAATTGGCGATCACCAGGAGAACATCATGCTTTAGTTACCGATCTGGGAAAGTCAGACATATTCCTCAGATATGAATGGATTGAATATCATAATCCATCAATAGACTTTAAACTACAACTTGTTGACTTTAACCGATGCCTGCACACGTGCATCACTATAAGACAACAAGAAATCGAAGAAGGAGATACCGTATATTTACTTAATACCAATACCTGGTATAAAGAACTGGGAGAATATATCCAAAGAATGCGCATAACAGCCATGGACATAGCAATTGAACAAAGTAAACAGAAAAAGAAAAAGACCTTCAAAGAAATAGTTCCCGAACAGTATCGTGAATTCACAGACATATTCACTGAAGATACCTTTGATGTTCTTCCAGAAAGAAAACCATGGGATCATGCAATAGAGTTGTTACCAGATTCATCACCGTATGCAGGCAAGGTGTATTCTATGACCATTAAAGAACAAAAAATTCTAGACAGTTTTCTTGAAGAAAACCTAAAGACGGATAGAATCCGACCATCAAAGTCTCCCTGAGGAGCACCTTTCTTCTTCGTCAAAAAGAAAGATGGCAAATTGAGACCGGCACAAGATTACTGAAAACTCAACGATATGACCAAGAAAAACAAATATCCTTTACTATTGATATCGGAGCTTATTGATAAGCTCAAGGGTGCCAAATATTTCACGAAACTAGACATTCGCTGGGGATACAACAATATTCATATAAAAGAAGGAGACGAAGAGAAAGCTGCATTCATCACGAATAGAGGACTATATGAACCAACCATTATGTTCTTTGGATTGACAAATAGTCCTGCTACATTTCAAATGATGATGAATGTCATTTTCCGTAATCTTATTCTCAAAGGAAAAGTAATCATATATCTTGACAATATACTCATATTTTCTGAATTCCTGGAGGAACATCACCGTATTGTGAAAGAAATTCTTAAAATATTATGAGAAAATAAATTAACCTGCAAACTAGAAAAATGTGAGTTTGAAACTCAAGAAACAGAATATCTCAGACATATTATCTCACAAGGAACTGTAAAGATGGACCCTGCCAAAGTCAACAGAGTTATGCAATGGCCAATACCAAAAGCCAAAAAGGAATTACAGTTATTCCTTGAATTTGCCAATTTCTATCGACAATTCATCAAAGACTTTTCCAAAATCGCCACTCCCTTGAATAAATTAACCGGACAAGTAGAATGGATCTGGGGTCCAGAACAGCAGAAAGCTTTCGAACTTCTAAAGACAACTATTACCACAGCACCGGTATTGGGCATTCCGAACAATGAAGATCAGTTCAAAGTCAAATGCGATGCATCGAAATATGCTATTGGAGCAGAACTCGCACAGAAGCAAGATGGACAATGGTGCACCATCGCCTTCTTATCGAAAAGCCTTTCACTGGCTGAAAGAAACTATGAGATCTACAATCGAGAGATGCTAGTCATCATGATCTCATTAGAAGAATGGCGTCACTTCTTGATGGGAGCTGCACAGAAATTTGAAATTTATTCCAATCACAAGAACCTTGGTTATTTCAAAAAACCCCAAAAGTTGAATCATCGCCAAGCGCGATGAATCCAAGAACTACAATAATATGATTTCAATTTGACCCACAAACTCGGAAACACAATGATGAAGGGTGACCCTTTATCGCGACAGACCCATCACGATATTGGCGATAGTCATAATGAAAATATTACATTGTTAAAACCCAGAATAGTTCCAAGCCAATGAAATTCTCGGATTATCAGCTTTACGGGAGAAAATCATAAAAAACACTGAAAAATATGAGAACAATGTATGACTAAAATTATTGACAAAAGATGCTGATTTCAATGAGATCAAGGATGGTCTTATCTGGAGAAGAGGGAAGATTGTTATCCCTTTTGATAAGGAACTCAGAGGAGAAATTATTCATTCGCATCACGATTCGATTAGTGCTGGTCATCCTGAATAAGCGAAAACACAAGAACTAATCTATTGATCATACTGGTGGCCTTCGATCAAAAAAGATGTAAAAACATATGTAAAAAGCTGCGAGACTTGTCAAAAAACCAAGATTAACCATCAACCGAAGAATGCTCCATTGCACCCAAATGCAATTCCAGAACACAATTGGGAATATCAATCAGTAGATATGATTACACACTTACCAGAGTTGCAAGGGCATGATGCGATCATAGTAGTTATGGACATAAAATCAAAAGACTACATTGAAATACCAAATACGGAGCAATTGACATCAGAAGGATGGGCTAATCTCTATATCAAAAATGTATATCCGTTGCATGGATTACCAAAAAAGATGACATCAGACCGTGGACTGCAATTTGTATCCAGCTTTATAAAAGATTTATACAAGAAACTAGGAATTCAGGGAAATCCTAGTATGGCATACTATCCACAGACAGATGGACAAACAGAACAAATCAATCAAGAAATTGAAAATTATCTATGAATCTTTATCAATCATCGATAGACTGATTGGCCAGAATGGTTGCCACTAGCAACATTTGCATATCGAAACAGAGTCCACTCTGCAACTGGATTTTCACCATTTTATATGAATCATGGACGAGAAGCCTATACTGGTGTAGAAACCAAAAAAGAAATTCGTAATGAAACTGCTGAGCAGTTTGTAGCACAAATGAAGAAAATCCAAGAGGAAGCATCGGCATCATTGACACTTGCACAAGATGTTATGAAAAGACAATACGACAAACATAAAGGTGAAGCCATAAATTATAAAGATAGAGATTTAGTGTAGCTTGAAGCTACGCATATACGCACGGATAGATCAAATCGAAAATTAGATGATAAAAGATATGGACCATTCCCAATTATCAAGAAAATTGGAGCTAGCACATACAAGCTCAAATTACCAAAATCATGGAAAGGCGTACATCCTGTATTCAATGAAACCTTATTATTGCCATATCACACATCAGAATTCCCAAATCAGAAAACATACAAAAACATTTCAATAATTATTGATATCCTAGAAGATAAAGTCGAATCCATATTAGACTTCAAGATAGCACGAGGGGGTCTTCAATATCTAATCAAGTGGGCTGGAAAACCACGCTCTGAGAATACGTGGGAACCTCGTCATAAAATTATTAAAAATATAGACAAAAAGATTATCGACAAATTCCATAAAGATCATCTCGATGCGCCAAAAGCATCCACCAGAATATTGCTAAAGGCACAAATTATGGAACAGTTATTTCCTAAAGAAGCATCACAAGAAGAATGGGATTATTGGGATTAAAAAGTACAGCGATGGGCAGAACGTCGTAAAAAAGAAAAAGCAATGATATCTGTAGACCCATATTTGATTAAATTATTCAAAAATTGAAGAAAAGCACAGATCATATCTAATCAACACTACCCGAATGCCGGCGAGTTATGAATCATCAATGAGCAGATGCTCAAACTGACACACGTGGCAATCACATCTGCACCTATGAAAGTCAAACTCGAATGGCAATACCCCATTCTTTCCTTCTACCAACTCGTCGAACCAATATTAATTCCAAGTATGAATTCTCCCATTCTAGAACAATCATTCACTCAACCAATGAAAGCTCTTTGGTAGAAATGCTCGACGACGCTGTCATCATATTCATCTCTGTAGGAAGCGCCTATTTGGTGATAATCACCATTTGTCTTTGCATCTACCGAATGCGACTTCGAGAAGAAGAAAATTCAGAAGAATGGATTATCATAGTATGATTGAACAATTTCACACTCTATCATAATTAATCGTGAGGACACAATTCTAGAGGAGGGGGTAATGTTACGATCACATTCATTTCGGATCTACGGACACACCTTTTCCTCTCATTATTTATTTGTAACCAATTATTAAAACCTATCCAAACACATTCGTTGATCCATGCTCAAACCTGACCGATACCATAAGTATATATGAACACATTGATATCACATGTATTCAGATAATAGTTGTATATATACACCAGATGAACTTCGGATTAACTCCAAGTTTCGAATGGTTTTCTACTGCTCATTTCTAAATTGATCTGAGTCCTATCAATGAGAGCACTGGTCCTTGGATCTTGCTTAATATGGGCGGATCATGATGACGTCAGCATTGTCGCGTGGAAAGACGCCCGCGGATATCCTCGTGGCGACCTTGAGCTTGTTTCTTCAAAGTTCAATATTTCAATATTAGCATTTGTAGTCCACCGCAGGTCATTTCTATCAGCATCTATCAGCATTCCGACAAGGTGACAACCTATTATGATGTATAGATGTTATGTTCTCACTTGTTTTGTTCTCTATATACATACGCTAGGGTATCTGACGTACTTGGGCTTTGCGCTCCGCCCTCCACCAATATTGCGCCTCCCACCACTCCGACAAGTCGCTGCTCACCTGACTGTGCTGAGCAGTGCCAGTTTACTGTCTCTCATGAGTACTGAACGAGAGTCGCCACCTTCTCACATCGACAAAGGCAAAGGTCGAGCAGTGTCTCCCTTTCCCTCTGAACGAACCCCTCTTCTCGCTTCCCGATCCAATACTCCGGTTGAACTCGAAGACTCCTCGACTCCTCGCCGCAGCATATGGCCTAGACTTCTTTCTGTCTTTATCTTTTGCTTTCTGATATCTTTATTCCTTCTCGTTCTTGTTGCTCTCATCGCCTATTCATATGGCTCCCGCGCTTCGGGCATCTCTTCTGATGTTCTCATCCAACGTGCGCTGGTACTCAGAGGTCCAGATCGTATAGACGTCTTGAACTTCACCCGCGAAAGCGGTTTGTGGGCGCAAGTAGATGGACGAGTTGGCATCAATGCTGGTGCCGCCATAGAAGTCAATGCAGAAGAGGACGATGGCATTCTTGCAAGCGCATGGAAGTCTTTAGGCCGGTGGGGGATTCGGAGGCTAGATGCTGTAACGGTCAATCTGTCTACCATTGAAGTGTCATCTGAACATGACTATCTCGCGAATATCTCGATACCACCGCTGGACCTGCCATTAGTAGCGAATCCACCGTCGGATTTATCGTGGTTGCGGCGGGTGTCTGTTCCAATACATATACAACCGACGAACGATTCTTCAGCTCTTTTGCGGTTCGCGCGCGAAAGCTGGAAGGATGGAATGGTGAATGCCAAAGCGGTTGTTGATCAAGCAACTATATCTGGTGGTCATCTTGGCGAACAGAGCTGGCGGAAACGGGTACACGTCGTTCGCACCGATATCACAAGTACAGTGCGAATGCAAGGTAAGTAAGTACCTCGTATGTCGAACATGTAGCTTAGTTTGTCCTTAGTACCTTCACTTCCTGGACTTCCACCCCCAGGGCAGGATATTCCATTCGCGTCTTTCGTGACTTTACGCTCATTCTTAATCCAGTCGACATATGACCAACTCACCATAGACGCTACAGCCAGCGTATTCAACCCTCTACCCGACAATATCCAGGCCCAACTACCTAGTTTGCCATTCACAATCTACCTACCTAATTACGATACTAACCCGGTACCCGTGGCTAACATCTCAACACCACCCTTCCCACTCACCCACCCCAACATAACGCTGTCAATCTCAGGATACGTCTTACCCCTAGATCGCACTACCTCTCCAGCCCTCTCTTCATTTCTTACTTCCTATCTCTCCGCACAAGACATCCCCATCCTCGTTTCATCCGCTCTCGTACCTTCACTAACTCTCCCAGCGATCTTCCCGGCGCCGAATCCGCCCCCGCAGGTCCTCCGAAACGTGACCATCAAAGACATGAAGATCAAACCTGCGGGAAATGGTGGCATGGTGGCGAGCGGGACAGTTTGGGCGAGGGTCGTTTTACCTAAGGGTATAAACGTTGGGTTGGACGTAAATCGAGTGTTTCCTGATGTTCTCGTGTTCGACGGGCCTGTGTCCGGCAGTGAACCAGGGGACGACGAGACGAATATTGTTCTCACACCGCCAGAACGACCTTTGCCAGATCCCTTGCCTGAACGTGCGTTTGCACATATCAGACCAGACGACTGGTTGCCGTCAACGTGTACACCAGTGGAGGGTGAAGAAGGGGACGGGTCGGCTGTCGAAGTCTCTGCGAAGCTTATAGATGTGCCGTTGGAGGTGCTACCTGGGAGGGATAAAGAATTCCGGAATTTCGTTGGCAAGGTTTGTTCCCCTTCTGGCTTTCTCATCGCGGCATTTTGTTTACGTCTTTTGGCTGATGTGTTTTAGGTGATATTTGGTACGAACGGGGCCCTTGCCGGTGTTCAAGGCGTGGCTGCCGTTGCTGTTCACGTGCGTGGATTGCCATTTGAGAATGGGAAAGGCGGAGAGATGGAGCTGGAGGGGTTGCCATTTCAGGGGAGTGTAAGAATCGGGAAGAGGTCATTGTTTTCGTTGGATGATGTCCTGTAATGCTTGCTGCAGTCTTTCTCCTTGGACATTTCTGTGCTATTTACCTGCCTCACTTCATTTGTATATTATTGTGTTGCAACATGTATATCTAACTCGCAATCCGTTCATATCAATCAGAACGAATCATTCTCCAGGGAAAGGACTATAGTACACTTCATGGATATCGACGAACATCAAGAATACATCTACAGAATAAAAGGGGACAACGTCTCACGCACTCAATTATAATGCTTCACAAGCACACCATTGATATACTCCTCCTCCACGTTCCCTTCTCCCTTCTTCAACTGTGTCTTCCCATACGCCGCAATCCGTCCCTTACGCCACTGTTCCATGAACGGTGCATTCTCATCAGTAAACTGTCTCTTCACTCCCTCCCTTTGCAATACCGGACTCTCAGTAAGTGGCGTGAGCTTAACGCTATCATCGGGCATGGAGAAGTAGAAGACACCGAGACGAGTGGACCCGCGTTGGTCTGGAGGAGGTTGGACCACACGATGGATAGTGGCGCGGTAGTATCCTCCTGAAAGGAATTCTATCGCATCGCCGGCGTTGATAATCTGTGTGTGGGTTAGTATGATAGTGTAACGGGATGAAAGGGACGGCGGACGTACGAGTGCGTTGTCGATGTGTTTAGCCCAGCGCCATTTGCCGTCGGGTGAGAGGATCTGAAGAGCGGATACGGGTTGAGACCATAAGAGAGTGATACCACCGAGGTCTAGCGATACGAAGTTCATAAACGAGAAGTGTGTAGTTTGATAATGAAAGTCTTTGGAATCACCGATGACGTACCAGTATGTCCTTTCAGCCAGACATTCTTAGTCTTGACTTCATCTTCCTCGGAGCGAGGAAAACTGTACACAAACATGTCAATATGCGACCTGGACGACTCGGCATTAGTGCTTACTATTTGATGAACCTCACTAGGCACGAAGTGAGGACAATCAGACTACGACTGTGAGGAGAGACAAAGAATGAGCTGAGCTTACAGGACGACTCTCCAGGATTCTCGTAGTTGAACAGATTCACGAATGTGTCCTCTGGAAGCTCGAGACCAAGGGCCAGGAGCCTAAGGATCGGGTGGAGGATATTGAAGTGGTTGTATTTGCCGAATTCTCTGATCTCGGGGAGCAGGGGTCGAATGGGTTCGGGATGCTCAGCAAGGCTAACGATACGGTTGGCTATAATAATAGCAAAGAAACATCATGAGTATCGAGTTAATGAATGATGAAGGTCGTATGTACTGTTGTACTGCTCGATCCTGTCTTGAACGCCATTATCAATGTGCTGCAGCACCGAAGATCAGATGCAGACTCAATGAGGTTGGGCTAAAATACGAACCCAGTATTGAGGCAGCTTGTAGCCTTGGTACGATCCGGTTGTCATCGGCTTGCCTTCATACTTTCTCTTCTCTTCATCACTAACGTGCGTGAAAGTATAGTCTGCGATGTCGAAGATCCGATCCCGCTGGGACAGAAAAATGTGCCTAAATGCGATGTGGAATATGACTCGCCGTCGGAACGTCTTACCTGTTCTTGTGTATAGCCGTGGTTTATAACTACCAGGAAGCCGATATCTCTCATGGCATCACGAACTTGGGTGGCTAGTTGAGCACGACCCTCAGGTGTCGCGGCCTTGGACAAGTCGATGATTGCTAAGTCGGCATACTCGACTGCAATCCAATGAGTTATGGCATGCGGGACGAAGCAGACAGAGGGTTCATTTACTTACGTTCTTCCTTGGTAGGGGGAGCCGGAACATGTCGTGGTACGTCAGGAATCGGAGCTGATGTGGTAGAGGACATCTTCAAGATACGAGAGGGAGAGGGGAACGATGAGGGTATTCGTACCTTGACAGCTATTAAAAGGGTTAGAAAGAGCTATAAGAAGGATTGGAGACTCCGCTAGACTCCAATCCACTCGAACTCATGAGAACATTCGTTTAAATAGAGTCGATTCTGGGAGTGGGTCAGGGTCGAGATTCCCAGCGTGAGAGAACGGGTAGCCGTACAAAGACACAGAAAGACCATGAGGACAGTAGAGTTTGCCAGAGGGCAAGCCGCAAGCTTCAATTAGCCGTGAAGGTGTGACCCAAGCTGTAGCCAAAAACGGATCCAGGTGTGATTTGTTTGTATTTGTAAGAAGTACACTTCTGGGGCAGCTGACTCCCAGGTTCGTGGATATATGGAAGCAGGATGCCGTGAAGCTGCTATTCTCATCGTAGTATTACGGACTTCACGCTGAAAACCCAGGGTCCATCTGAAGGGAGACGATAAGAGTGCATGCGATTACAACCAGGTCAGACGTAACTTACTGACGTGTATATTTGGACGTTTTGACAAACGGACGTCGTTGCACATAACATATTTGCAAGGGCACTGGAGAGATATTAACGCAACGATTGAGGTGATATTGATCCCAAGTTCCCATTTGTTCTAGTAATACACACAGTATTGATCGACATAACCACGTTTGAGCGCGTTTCTGCAGAGGATGATAACAGAAAGGTCCTACGTCAGGGGAAGATATGATGTTACACGAGGAAGATCATTTGAGAAAGATATAGCATCAGGGCGAAGATCGAAGCTGTCAAGGACCCACTAGTAAAAATGCTTGACCACAACGCCGTGTACAAGTTCCTCTTGAACACCCTCCTCCGTTTGCTTCAGCTGAGTCTTACCATACGCCTTCGTAATACCCGTTCTCCAATCCTCCATCGTGGGTGCGTCCTCATCGCTGAACCTTCTTTTGATACCGTTCCGCTGCAAGACAGGACTTTCGCTCAGAGGGGTAAGCTTGACATGGTCGTCGGCCATAGCGAAGTAGATGACAGCAAGACGACCGAGACTCCTCTGCTCCACTATCGGCTGTATGACTCGATGAATGGTCGCACGGAAATAACCTCCGGACAGGAATTCCAAAGTATCGCCGGCATTGATCACCTTGAGAGCATATTTAGAAACAATGAATTCTGTAAGGGGTAACAACATGCGCACCAATGCGTTATCAATGTGTTTGATCCATCGCCACTTGCCGTCTGGAGAGAGAACTTGAAGACCGGAGATCGGCTGCGACCACAGGACCGAAAGACAACCGATATCTGATAACGCCACTGTCAAGAATGCGCAGCGTCTCAATACAACGTATGACGTACCAGTATGGCCTTTCAACCAGGTCTGCTTCGTTTTCTCTTCCTCATCCTGCGTACGGGGATGACTAACATGATATTGGTAATCGGTCTTCCTCGAATGTGACGACCTAACTTACTATTTCATGAACCGGACTGTATACGAAAGCCTCATACCGTTAGAATGCTGCGGATGTTGAAACAACGCTAGACTAACGCACCTGCTGATTCGCCAACACCATCAAAATTGTGAAGGCGGGCAAGGGCATCCTCCGGAAGCTCCAATGCAGTCGCCAAAAGTCTATATTGACGAGATGGAGCCTCTTGTAAAGAGACCAACGAGGTGGTCTTACCTCAAGAGCGGATGAACCACATTGTAGTGACTGTGTTGACAGAACGCATCGATTTCTGGCAGAAATGGGCGGAGGAATTCCGGATGTTCCCTTTTCGAGCTGTCACGATGGACTGGGTATAACACTGTTTGAAATCAAAATGACGTGGTAAAGTGAGAGATCCTACCGTTGTATTGTTCGACCTTGTCCTTGACGCCGTTGTCGATTTCCTTTTAGTGTCCGAAGAACTTGTTAGTAAGATTGGCGAGACAAAGGCAAAAGAATAGGTGTATACCCAGTAGTTCTGGAGTTTGTAGCCCTGATACGTTCCGGTTACCGGCAGGTTTCCTTCGTAGCGGCGTTTTTCCTCGTCGCTGACCTGGGCAAAAGTGGCCTCCGCGATGTCAAATATACGATTGTTCTAAATAACATGTTGAGTCTCAGCAGTGTTTGTCTAAGCAATGCAAACCACACGTACCTGTTCCTGAGTGTAACCATGGTTTATGACATAGAAAAAGCCTACGTCGCGCATTGCGTCGCAAAGCTGAACAACGAGTTCTGCGCGTCCCTCAGGAGTAGCCGCCTTCGCCAGGTCAATGACAGCAAGGTCGGCATAATCCACTTACACAACGTTGAATCAATATCGGAAAGGCATGAAGGAGAAGAATACCTACACTTCTCTTGAATGGGCGGAACAGCGGGGCGGTGTGGCAGTGGTTGAAGCTGGTTATCGACAGTTGTCATATCTAGTTTGCTAGGTTTCAAAAATGGGGAGGGCGCACTGGTCAGTTCAATATTCTGCTACGACAGCATTCCTTAAATCCTCCTGCCAAGTATCTGTGCGGCAGAATCGTCCTGTGGGAGCGACAGTAAGTCACAAGTTCCGTGGCATATGAAAGCTGCATTTACTCGTGCATCAGGTGGGATCCGACTAGTGGGAGTACATTGAGTGATTACGAAGGAATTGAACACCATTTTACCATCTGATGTTCGTCGATAGAAACGTTCGAGCATTGGATGTCCAAATTCGGTTTCGGGGTGAAGCTTGGAATGGAGCCGTGTCGGCTAGACCTACATTTACTGGTTGGACATATATGATGGACAGTACTCACACAGCGGGGATTATTTCCTACAAGCTGCGAGCGCGGGGAAAAGACTTCGAGAAAAGTCACGTGTTAATACTATATTTGCAGAGTTTCTATATTCTATCGTGTTAAGACTGGGTACGACGGTGAATACTGTATGCGAATTATGACTATGAAGGATATTATCCACTCGTACAACGTCTCACTAAATGATACTTACTCTACTTTACAGGTGACAGTCAGCAACGTTCCCCATTGTCAAATGCATCTAATTATAGTGCTTGACCACGACGCCATTAATAACTTCTTCCTCCACACCAGCAGCTGTCTTCTTCAACTCCGTCTTGCCGTAAGCCCTCGTTCTTCCTCGCCTCCACTGCTCCACCGTGGGAGCTTGCTCATCTGTGAATCTCCTCTGTATACCCTCCCTTTGCAGAACTGGACTATCTTTAATGGGTATGAGCTTGACATTGTCGTCCGGCATAACGAAATAGAAGACGCCTAGACGAGTGTATCCCCTTTGGTCTAGAGGAGGCTGGACGACCCGGTGAATGGTGGCGCGATAGTATCCTCCCGAGAGGAACTCCATCGCGTCACCGGCGTTAATCACCTAGAAGGATACATGAATGGCAAAGAAGCATGGTAGCGACAGTCAACGTACAATGGCGTTATCGATGTGTTTGGCCCATCGCCACTTGCCGTCCGGCGAGAGAATCTGAAGCGCAGAGACAGGTTGTGACCAGAGTACAGTGATACTTCCGAAGTCTAAAGAAATGGTCGTCAATTACCCTGTGAGGCCTCGACACTGCACATGACGGACCTGTGTGACCTTTCAACCACACATGATTTGTCTTGTTTTCTTCCTCGTCATCGCGCGGATAGCTGCATTACGTATTGATAAACGTCTAAGCTGTAAAGGAAGAGTACTCACTATTTCATGAACCTAACTGTCAAACATTAATGGCATCAGAAGTCGTGAGATAAAAGAAGATATACCATAAGTTTCCCCGACAGCATCGTACCCATGGATATTGACGAAGGTATCTTCAGGAAGCTCCAGACCGATGGCTAACAGCCTAGAGGGCGTAGATGAGCCCGGAACTGAAGTCAAACCCATGAAAGTCTGCTCACCTCAAGATCGGATGGAGAACGTTATAATGACAATGCTTTGTGAATTCGCTGATCTCTGGAAGGAAAGGGCGCAGTGCTTGAGGGTGTTCGCGCTTGGTGACATCGCGATTAACTATAACACGATCCAAGATAAGATAAGGTGGTCTCGGAGAACGCTAAGCCGAACACACTATTGTAATGTTCCACTTCATCTTGGACACCGTTGGCGATATGCTGAACCATCGGCATTAGAGAGGACATTATGAATGACGAAGCTTCACTCACCCAGTATCGACGTAATTTATATCCTTGGAACGTGCCCTCCTCCAGCATCTTGGCCTCATATTTACGTTTTTCTTCATCGCTCACCTGTGCGAACGGGACGTCTGCGATATCGAAGATCCTATCGTTCTTAGACAGATGCGTTAGTCCTCACGATATATAATCTCAGGTACTCCCAGAAGGGGTGTAACTTACTTGTGGTTGCGTGAGACCGTGATTGATCACGGAGAAGAAACCAATATCTCGCATAGCATCATGGACTTGAGCAGCGAGTGCGGCACGGCCTTCGGGTGTATCAGCTTTCGACAGGTCGATGATCGGGAGATCTGCATAGTCCACTGTAGACGCTTCAGTAAGGACGTGAAAAGCAAGGTTGAGGCGACTTACGATCTTCCTTTGTAGGAGGGGCAGCGACGTAGTGCGGGATGGATGGGAGTGTTTCTGAAGACGAAGACATGTTGAGTTCAGGAAGGCAGAATGCTAGAGAAACGAGCTGGGACGTACATTTTCCCCTTTGCAGCAGGTTTTAATAATCTCGTTAGAACGCCATAGTCAAGTCAGAGCCAAGCCCTGAGAACAATCACGCAATTCGCATTTAGTTGGCGTCATACGCGAACTTCAGAAGACGAGACCCGTTGGGCCAAGGCTGGCAATAGTTTACGAGTAACCATCGTATGCTCATGATTGCGACGTCCAAGTATCATTACTTGCACTGGGTGCCGGAAAGGCCCAGCTGAGTGTATGAAGTCCTTAGGAAAAGTCTGTTACCTTAGACGCCTGTCAAAGATGTTGTTTGGGTCTATTTGTAGTACGTTCAACTTACTTTTTGTCAAGGCGAAGACTTTGGATCTCCGAGCCTGATATCTGTAGCAGAAGACTCCCAGAAAAAAAGCGACCGAATGCAAGTAGCATCGTGCCAATAGTGTGAAGTGTTCGACGAACTGACGCAACCGGATACCATGTACTAGACGTCGCGCCCTCAATCCCACTTTAGCCATGCAACTCCAGACCTATCGAGCTCTGTCTAGCGCCATGTTGTAAATTCCGTAACTTACTTCCTCTTACGCTTCGTTGCACCAGACAATGGTGGATGCAAATATTGTCCTGAGTCGAGGCACACATACCCTGCTCGATCGACGGGTATGGCGGAGGTCCGATTACTCCGCCATCTCTCCTGTCGCCTGCACGTAATTGAGGATACTCAGATGGGAGCGGCGCTTGTGCCATGAAAGCTGAACCTACCGTGATATCCTGTTCAAGAAGCTCGACGTTACAGGATGTTATTGAAGTTCAGACATATAGCGCGCGGTATGATCGTCACCAGTGGACTTGCGCTAACTTGCGAAGTGAACGCGTAGGCATCATGTATTCAACACTTGCAGGGCTATCACAGTGTCTGCCATGGATCTACAACGGCAAAACAAGAGCAACAGGCCTCTATAGCTGAATATGCAGCGCTCCTACACCAAGAACTACTTCGGGTCCTAGCTGGCTTGTAGACGTTGTAATTCGAGGTCCAAAACGCCCCCATCGTGCCTGGGGCCTGGAGGTCTCCGCTCTCCAGGCTTCATGTCACTGTTAGCAGGTCTGCGCTCAGGTTAGCTCAACGTTGACAATGACATTCCCCTGAATTCAGGAACAACAGTGAGATGCAAGCCATATAAAGCCTGGGTTTAATGGCGTACCAGCTATCCAACCACACTATCTGGTACTATCACGTCCATCTCACACGAAACATGAACTCTAAACCCTTGGCAGAACGAACGGATGGTGGCTGGCGTAATCTCAAGCCGATTAGATGGGATCAGCCTCGTAAAGGAGGAGGAGAAGGAGGTCCCCGGCAGATACCAGGGCCAGCAATGGTCGGCTTCAGAGCGTTCACTGCCCAAGAAGACGCTGCGGCTCGAGCAATCGAGGTCGTCCTTCAGGACATACGAGTCTGGCTCAATGCCCACGAGGGTGTCGTTGAGTATGTGCAGGTCCTCCACAATATCATAGACAGAGTCGTATTCAGTGTTGCAGTGGTCATAGCGGGGAATAGACGGGATGGGGTTGCTGCAGTGGTCCTCGAAGCCCTTAACGAAGGCATTGATCAGTTAGCAGCCTTTATGGATGGGGTGCCGGAGGACGACCAAACCGGCGATTTGTTCTTTCACCTAATAGACCTCATGGGGACTGTTAACGAACTTAAGAGGTTATTGTCCGGGTGAAGGTATGTTTTTCTGTCGCCAGGCTTGTGCGTAACTGCCACTCACCAAGATATCGATCTCTTAAACAGCCGACATTGCGGCAGGTTATAGGGGCTTCTCAAAGTATGGAATTTCTTGGCATGGCGGAATAGTAGGTCGATCAACCACATAGTGGCTTTTGTAGAGAGAGTGACCCTCGGATTTGCGTCGAACGGCAGCTGTACGATATGAAAGTGCCTTGCATTTGCCCTTACGAGTATGTTGTTCATTAAGTGAAACCCGGTCCGGCTGAATGAACGCACACCTATCAGCACCCAATGTTTTTTCTTCACTCTCTGCATTTGTGCATCATCAACATCCGATACCTCTCCAGCCGCATGGTCTTCTCAGGGCACCGTTCCGAAATAAGTACTCGTGAGCTCGGACTTTCCCCTCTCCGTTGAGCAAAAAAAACCTGGTCGCCGCTGACTTGGAGGTTGACTGTCGTTCGTCAGAGTCCGGATGTTCCGATTTCCGAAAGTAGTAGCACACTTCTGTTTTCTTTTATTTGTACTACGTTTATAACCCTTGCATATATATACTTGGTTCGCTCCAGTTCTTGTCATTGGCCAGTACACACAGCATAACGACTTGCCGAGTCTTTTCATTGGCACATGTACACATCCAATCTTCCATCCTCCTCACTACAGCGATTTATTGTTCTAACACCAGCCTTCTGCTACAGTATGAGCGTACCTGCTGATACTCGCTGCGTAGAACGTCGAGTGCCTCAGCTGGTGCACGAGGTTTTGGACCTCCTGCGTAACGACAACCCGGCCCTCTGCACGTACTCGTTAGCCTGCTCTTCATGGCGCTCATACACCCAAAGACATCTCTTCCGTAACTTACGGATCCATGGTGAACCATTGACAGTCGGGTTTGGGCAGTTCATAACGTCTTTGGCGTTCGGGGAGCTATCGGACATCACCCAATACATCAAGCAATTATCTCTTGTAGGACATTCATACGGATCACCCCTTTGACCGAACAAAGAAAGAGACTCTGTCTCTACGTTGGCCTTCTCCACCCTCACCGTAGTGCTTCGTTTGCTCAGAAATCTTGACGACTTGGAGCTGCGCAATAATCGTCTCATCATCGACATTTCCGAGCCCAGCACTTTCATTCGAAGTTCTGCTTCCCTCAAGAAACTTGCTATCCACGACATAGAGTTCGATCCAAACTCAGACAAGGACAACATTATTAAGTCGCTCAAATTCTTTGCTTGCATCCATGAACTCGAAATTGGCGCGGTCTGCTTCAAAGAAGTTTCACTCGGTCGCACGCCTAAGTTGCTCCCCAACGTCCAGCGACGTTTAACAGATTTTGAGGAAAGTGATTGGACAGATGCCGAGTATGCGGAAGAGTTAGTTGACTTCCTCGTCCCGTACGACGTACTGGAGGAACTGTATGTCATTCAAAAAGGAGACTACTTTGATATGCTCCACTCCGGGCTATCCAACATGAGTCGGTTGTATATATTCTTCACGGCCAATTGGGTCGAATGTGCGTTGTTGACTGTCATTCATGTGATACGCTAACACATTCTAATTCTAGCATGGTTGGGTGAATGCGACCTGTCAGTGTACTCAAGTCTACAGTCCAGTTGGAGCGTTGGCCTACATCATATCAACCAAGTTTGGGACAGAATATAAAACCTTCTGAAGGATGTGCCACTTCCATCGACACTGAACTCCATAGCCGTCAGGCTGTTTGTCTTAGACGAAAGGGCTTGTTATCAGCGTCTCTGCTCTGGATCATCGTCTACCTCGAATGTTTGGAGCCAGATCGACGACCGAGTTTGTCTATTGCAACAAATGCTTCGTGTGTCCGTAATTATCCAATATGCTATTGAATTTCCCGCGGACGTATTCATAGCGACTTGGAGGCAGGCGCTGACGTTAGGCTCTGGAGGCTCCGACTGTGTCCTTTTGCATCAAGGCGAGCGATGATCTGTAAAGATAATCATTGCGCCCCATTCGACCCCATAGTATGCCGTCTAGCATGACTTCGTAAGTGATATTTAGCTGATTGCTATTTGGGTATGCTGACCTTGTGAAGTTCATGCAGAGACAGGAACAGTACAATGGTATCCAAGCTGAATCACGCCATCATCCTTTCCCGTCGACATGTCTTCTGTGTACTAAACTTGGTTACCCGGAGCCCCTGTCCCAATACACTCTTCGTGACCCTACATTACATGCTCTGTGAGTACATCTGCAATCGTTGGTCTCGTGAACACTTGCCAGCGGGAGATTCTAACTTGGAAGAACCCTTCGGAGCTTGTTCGTTCGATATGGGCATAATGAAAGTGCCAAAATATGTAATGTGTTTCATACTTACACGGTGAATCACTGTTGCTCGAATACAACTTACCGAGATGGTGCTAACCCATTTTAAGTCCCATCGCAAATATTTTCAAATCTATGTCCGTTGCGGCGTAAGGAAATAGTGTGGTACGTTCACACATAATTCATAATCTAGCAGGTTTGTCTCTCTCAGGTCGAACACGTTATGAGAACATTCAGCGTGTTCAGCAAACCGAAGATCCGTAATTTCCTATCGTGAAGATCGGCCGCTTTGTCGAGCTATTCAACTGACGAAACGCTGACCAGGGCAAGTAATACAAGCTTACGGGTCCCTCTATGTCGGTAATTTGCGTCTTATGCTGCGCTACCTGCACCGCCGACGTCGTTTCTACATCACCCAACAGGTGCCTAAACGTGGAGGAAGAGCGAAACGTCCCATGCCGAGTGTCTAAATCCCAACCTAACTCAACCGGAAACCTTCGTTCATGGCATGCGCCGCGCACTGTTTCCAGGAGGCAATCAGGCTTGGCCGCAGGGCCGGGAGAAGCGAGTAATAGCAGGTGAAAGATTCACACTTACATACTTCTGTGCCTCTCCCTTGGAGCATTTGACTCTTCCCTCTGATTTCCTTTGACAGCTTCCCGGAAACCCGTCCATCGGAAAAAATCACCTGCCTACTTCGAGTCTTGAAACAGGAACGTGTTGGTCGTTTTAAGGTCATCTCCTCTAAGTACGGTGTTTGCGGTCCGTGAGTAAACATAACTTCGTATTAAATCTGTGTGCAGATGACCTTCGAGTTTGGGTAAGATGAAATCCACCGGATCGTCAGGAGATCCGCAGACTTCAGAAGATGTAGGTCCGTATTGGTCTTGCCACATGTATGTAATGCAGCTATAGAGTTCACCTCGTTGGTCTTGCATGCAGGACAGAGCCATCGGCAGAGGTCATGGTCGGCCGTCTAATTCGCACAGCGTGGAACCCAAACGCCAACAAATACGAGATCCTGTCTCGACATTGCTGCTTTCGACTCGGGATCGACTCTGCTTCCGAGTTACTGGTTAGATCTCGATCGCTTTGTCGTAAAACATAGGGTCGTGGGCAGTTAAAATGGCTGCGTGAGAGTTCTCATAATGAAAAAAATGATTGAGGACGACTGCCTTCGCCGACAGACGCTGCAAGCTGTTCAACGCTAAGAGAGAAGGTTAGGATGCATATGATGGAATAGTCAGATGTCACTCCTCACCCGCACCGATGCGGCCTTGGACGCTAGACTATACCTTGCTAGTATTTCATTGCGATTTGAGTTCCTGACACGACACATGCTACCATAGGTTTCTTCAAGCATGGAACGGGCAATCTGACTCAGTGCATGTCTGCTGGACTTAGCGAGTCCAAGACATTTGGAATGATCGTTGTTCCCATCCGATTATAGGAACCTACTGTACATATTGGGTACACGAGGATTCAGGCTATTGTACAAGGGGGTTTGTGTACACAGGAGTTATACAGGGAAGACAGAGTTAGAGAACACATAAACAAACCAGAGGAGAGGAAGCATACGAGCAAAACCGAGACGAGAGATGGTGAAAAATAGCATGGGACTGAAATAGCACATAATAAGACCAGACGCCTCTGATGGTTGAACATCAGAGGGGAATCGATACCAATGGGAGATATTTCAAATCGCAATCATAGTGCATACACGCAGTATGGGAAACGGAACAAGGAAGATGTTTATATCAAGAGGAAGGTATCATATGACAAAGACGAGAGCGTAAAGCGTACCACTAAGCGACCTCAGAAACAGGTGAACGTCGACGTCGAACCGATTTTTCATTTACGAGCGCCATACTAGCCTTCTCGTCAGCCTTCGACTTTAAGACACGAGGTTTAGCGGGACGTTTCTTCGCTAAGGTAGCATCCGGGGGAGGTGGTTGAGGGTGACCTTGAAGAACTTGAGATTGAGCGTGGGCAAGTTTGTGCAAGTGAGCATCGGCGAGAGCTGCAACACGAGCGGCGCGCGGGGAACGTTTGTGTTGGCCACGGCGCGACTCGGTGGGGAAGACGCAATCAAGTCCTCGACGAGAGCATTGTCTGCGAGAGGAATGTCAGCGGGAGATGTATTGTAAAAGCGAGTGAAGGACTTACTTGCACGTTTGGTTAAGCGAGTCGGGTGGTGGTGGACCACAACATATCTTGCGCTCGCGACAGAAGAGACACGCCATTATGGGTTTTTTCTTCGCAGGCTGGTCTTTTGGTGGTGGCACTGCACCGTGAAGCTTGAACATAGCCTGTCCAAGCTTCGCTTCAGATTCCGAGACAGGAATCTCGTCCATTCCAGAGCCATTGAGCTGAGAGGCGATAGCAGCTAGACTGAGAGGGGTATTGTCAGGAACAGTAGCTGCCGCAGAGGTAGTGGAGGCAGGGTAGTATGTCGAGTTGAGATGTGAATGGGAATGATGCGTGAAGTCGGTTTTGACAGGTGCGAGGTTGGGGCGAGAATTCCTCGCGCTTGTTTCGGGCGCCGAAGAGGAAGTCGTGTGCTGATGTCGATCTTCACGGGGAGTGGAGACCGTGCCGATTCGAACGGAGGAAGAGACAGTTGAAGAAGGGGTTACAGGGGTTGTGGGCGTGATGGGCGTAATGGCGGACTCGAGGGTGTAAGAGCGAGTGGGGGGGTACAGCGGACGGTCGAAGGCACTCGACGGGCCTGCGTGTTCAAGCTCGCCATCCTACATAAGAGTGTGCATACTTAGGATTTGATATAGATCACTGTTGAAGAGAGACATACGAAATAATCAGCGGGTGGTGGCGTACCCCAGTACGACGCATTGGCAGTATAGTCGACGGAGGATGAAGGAGAGAGTGCGCTGCTATATGGGGAGTCATACCCGCCGAATTCTGACTCCCCATATTCCACGCAAGACATTTCATCTCCATCCGGACACATACCTAAAGAAGGTTATGCATGTTCAAACGATCGACAGAAGGAAGTGATCGGCGATGAACTCACATTGATCGTCGGTCATGGCGAAAGTCTTGGTGGCGTTGTAAGAATATTGCGGCGCTGGTGCTTCTGTTTCAGCACGAAATATAGTAAGCAAATGTGCGGAGACTATAGGTAACTATGCAGAAGACGTACCATAAGTCGTAGTCTGACGCACGTGAGCTACATTCATGCCCAAAGCAAATGTCAGACTCGACTCCGTCGAGATTGGTAGCTGTTGTGCATGAGCGTGCAAATAGGCGAAAGGTTCTCTTGATGCCTCGGAGTCGTTACCGCGTCTAGATGTGTCAAATTGATAGCTCCCGTACTGGGAGAATGTGGCGGCATCCATATGCCACTAGGAAATAGCAGAAAATCTCAACGATAAGAGAGAATAAAAGCTTAGAACTGAAATTGGAAGAGGGATGAAGAAAGACAGCTTTAAGATGAGCTGGCGACACTATTTAAATAGATTGTGAGGCAAGATCCCACACCCGGTTAAGATCACGAAAAAGCAGGATGGACGAGCTTAAAAGGGATAGGCGGGTTGCGGATTGATGAGAGCCGAAATACGAGGAGAGATGTGCCGTAAGAGGGATGAAAGCTAGCGAGTGAAAGACTGCATGCCGGACGCAGTGTGGCATGCATGTCTGCCCAAACTGAATAGGGAGATCGAAGTCGGGATCTCTAACCGGTTCACCTACACGTTCGGTTCGTCTTCTGCGTTCACGCGACCAGTCATCTGCAGCTCGCGTACTTGCCTTCTTTCGTTCGCAAAGACTTCCACCCTTATTCTTGCGCCCACAACTCAATCAAACAACTGTCTTTCTGTTGGAACGCTGTCGCTGGCCTATGTTCTATGTGTCAATCTTCGTCGCCAAGGTTTTGTATACACTCGCTCGTGTAAACTCGCGGTCCTTTTTGGTCTTGCGACTGTGTCAACTCTAACTTATCAGCACGAGACAGCTTCAAAAGAACATGCACTCACTGTTATTGAACGATAACTAGACTCCCTGCCTCTTTGCGTTGTCACATCTACAACGTCCGGTGCGGATCCTTCATCCGAAACTTCACAGAGGAACCCTAGCTTACCTTGAAAGTCGAATACCTCTCAAGCGTTCATTCTTGTTCCTATCATCTGTTCACATACTGCGGAGGCTTAGCACAAAGTTTACGAGACTGGTCGATTCTTCTAAATGTATTTTATGTGCATGTGCTTCCGGATACGGGCAAGCCGTAGTCCGGTTCGGGGATGTTTCGGTGTGCGAGCAGTATGAGCGCCTTCTGCCAGTTGTCCCCAAGTACTTACAGCTCAACTCGACCTTCTTTCCTCGCAACTCAAAAGACATGTCTGAAATTGACCTGGGAAAGGCTGTCGGTCATCAAGACCCTGACATTCCTGTACGTGAAGCCGCATAACACCATGATCATAAGCCACTAACACTTTCAACAATCACACATTTCCATTTGCTTACCATACCTCCTTTGACTCCTTCGAACCATACAGGTAGCATGGAATCAGCGCGACCTCATACTTTACGCCCTTGGTATAGGAGCCAAGAAGGACGATCACTCGCTCGTAAACGGTATGCTCGCCTTTCACTTTCCCCGCAGAATTCTTGCGATTCTGCCTGCCCCTGGCCGAACATATCCCGCTTATTCATACCGTTGACTGACATTACCAATCCCACAATCTTTGTGTCTGCTCCCGATATAGAACTTGGTGAGTGCGATAGCCTTCATCTCTTAGGTGCTTCGCGGAACTAGTATCCGATCGAAGTCTATTACTGTAAACAAATCGCCAAACTAATCGTCTGTACCTTCTTTCTATACGTCTTGTGATCGCCTATAGACAACTCATGGGCTCCATTTCCAACGTACCCTGTTGTACTGATGCTCAAAGGTCCGTCCCGATCCTGACTTCGCAAACTTACCTTACAGCTCAACTACACTCTATGACCGCTCTTTCCTGTTCCTTTTCGGACTTTTCCATACTGTTTTCCTTCTTCGCATCCGGTACCCTATGCAATCGGATTACGATGATTGGCAGGCGCTGACCAAGACGTGATTGACTTCAAAACTCGTGTTGGTGGGAAGAACAAAGCTCCCGGCTTGCCTCGTTTCGACCCTAATCGTACGGTACGTCGGACGCCTGTATTGCCTCGTCCTCATTTGGCTAATCTGACAAGATACGATAGATACATGCGACGCAGAGCATTCAGATCCTTAAGCCCCTCCCTGCCGTCAGTGGGCAAGGGTGGAAACTCAAGAGACGTATTGTCGCAGTTAGCGAGAACAGTACGTAATGTCTCGCATTGTCTGCCATAATTGCACTATAGCGGAAATCTGACAGATATTTGACCTCTTCTGTAGAATCGGGGATTATTTTGGAATCAGAATTTACCCTCATTGACCCAAACGGTATTCCTTATGCGAAACTCTATGTACGATTACGATCTTTCTTTCGTCATTCTCAGGCAGCTCCACATGTACTGAGATTTTTGTTAACAGTCTTCCTCTTTCAACCTTGGCGCGAAAGCGACTGGTGGAAAATTTACGAAACGCATCGCTGGGGCACCCCAAGCTAAACCTATCCCCAAAGATCGTCAGCCAGATTGGGTGGTCAAGGACCAGACGACGCCTGAACAAGCAGTTATTTACCGTCTGAGCGGGGATTACAACGGACTTCACATTGGTCAGACACCGTCTTTCTCTCGCACTGGATTTCTCTCCGCGTGACGCCGCTTCGAATGATGCTGACGACCGCTGTGATTTCTATTGTTCTGATAGATCCCCGTATCGGAAAAGCGGCAGGGTTTGGGGGAGTCATCCTGCACGGTCTCTCTACCTTCGGATTTGGCGCACGAGCGGTCTTGTCTGCTGTTGGTGGCGGCAACCCGAACGCCCTCAAGTATTTTGGCGTCAGGTTCACATCTCCTGTCAAACCTGGTGATGCACTCGAGACCAGCATCTGGGAAGTTGGTCCTGGGCCTGAGGGTACGACAGAAGTGACGTTTGTTACGAAGAATTTGACTACTGGAAAGGTGAGAATGCGTTTATTACTTCCGCATGGGTAATATTATATTGACTGGTATTCATGCAGATCGTTCTTGGAGCTGGAGTCGCCTATGTGAAGAAGCAAGAGAAGAGCAAGTTGTGAAGGTATTACCTCAGTGCAACCACACTGTATGGCTTTGTTCGCATCAGAAATCCCTGTCTCCGCAATTTCTCATTCAATGTATTATTCACCTGGATTTTCCCGAACGAAGAACCCCCTGGAAGCGCAGGAAGGGTATTGCTTCGAAGATGTGCCACATGGAGTACGTATAACCGTGTCGCTGATGCATTGCTCTATAGGTCGTCCTAGCGTTCGCTAAGTACCTCAACGAGGCCGCGTGTCAATATCCGTCGTGCAGACCTCGCCCCAAACGCCCTACCAAACTGTATGTGCAAAGCTTATGTACCTCACAATCTGGACCTCCGTTCCATTGGGTGCGTTAGAATATTAGCGAACGTATCAGACGACTGCCAATCATTTCGTAAGTACACAAATTATTGAACGACGTCATTGATGTTGTCAGTTGTCGCTACATGAGGTTACTAGATATTATCATGCCACGCTTATTACTGACAAGAACAGCCTTCAGACATTAATCCGGATTAGATGGCGCCCAATTGGAGGCCGCTACATCTGGTCGTGTTTCTTAATGGAACAAGTGCGTTTCTGTGACGCAATTTTCATGTCCACGTTATTCAGGGAAGTAGGGTGGGTTGCACCCTCCAATTCCCCTTAACTTCCGCCGATGCCTACAGTATTACTATGTTCATGAACAAAGAACAGCAGGATCACAAAGAAAGCAAAATCTTTCACACGTTATTGCAGTTCAGTATTCGTTAATCACCTTGCGGTGATATAGTGGAGGACCTTCCCATTCACCACTGTAGGGAATGTAATAGAGCGGATAGACGGTACACGTATGAATAAGTAAGCAAGAATACTGAGAACAGTTTATCCTGCATTGTGGTCATGTATCAGCGAAGAACAGCTTACCTCTCCTCAACCAGATGACCCATGATAATGCAGCACTACAACTGCGTCGTGAAAATAAACCTTACCCTCTATATGCCAACAGTTAACGTACGTTGGCACCAAGTTGCCGCCGTTTTGCGCTACCCTGAATGAGTTGTAAGCACACTCAAAGAACGCTTTCGTACTGTATCATGCAAGTAGAACGTTTTGCGTGCTGTATTGTGTTCGCCTGAAAGCAACATTTGAATAAAAAGTGGGACTCGGACCTACCAAGAGCAATGCTGGTTCATCTAGCAACGGCGTCCAGTGAGCGGAAAGGAGGGGAATCCCTTTGTACTGTAACTGTTTTGCATCAGAGTCGTATCTGCACGTAGATTCAAAATGAAGATTCAGTTTCGATGGAAATTATTACCTTCAACCTTCCATGAAGAACCATCTCTGTTCACTCATCGACCTACTCAGGATCCTGCGAGCTCCTTCAACCCTGGTGGCAAGACGATTACCCAGTTCTCGATTGGCCTCCAAAATTGAAAGGGCCAAGGTCAGATTCTCGTTGTCTCAAAGGGGGTCCTCATGCTCCAACATAAGCCCTCGGAAACTAATATGAGGGTCTGATGTCAATGGACTTGGCGGCCATATATCCCAGAAGTCGCATTCAGTAATTCACACTATGCAGAAGATATGAGCGTAGCCACAAGTCATGCAGCCACTGCTGAGATCCGGTCACAACAGTAGTTCACATGGAGAGATTTTAGACTGCTTACTGAGGGCTGCACCAGGATCTGCTATTCTCACAACAGCCAGCACGAGCCACAAATTTTGGAGAGATATGAAGCGACTCAACAGAACCCCGGTTCGTCATTCAACATCTGCTAACATCTATCGCAAACGCGTGCAAGCTGGGTTCGTTAGCCTGACCAACAACATTGACATCTAGAAGCAACTTACGGATTTGTAGTTCGTTTATAGAGGAAACCATTCTAAATGATCGAAGCAAACAGTCAAAGAAGAATAAATAACGTTGCTTAATGAGTGATGTCTCGCGTGAGGAATCTACGACAAAGTCAATATTCAGCAAACATGGCCTTCGCAGGTTTCCGACTGGAGAATGCTGGCCGGAGAAAGCCGTATTAGTTCATTGGAACCGAAAGCCTTGAGAGAATGGATTACAATACACCGCGCATTCACAGTACAGTGACCAGAACGCTCCAAATGGAGTTGAATGTCTACCATCAATAGACATCGTACGGATATATCTACGTGCTGTAAGAAATCCATGAAAAGTATGGAAGAGATCCATAGAATAAGCGTATGCGTATCGTTGCGAATATGAATTAACGTACCTCGTCCGAGACGAGTCCTCGTGGGTAGCTGTAGACGGCTAGCTGTGCTCATGGTTATGAATATCAAGCCCGATTACACGAACGCAGCGTATAAAATGGAGGAACAAACGATGGCTTCCGTCAAAGCAAGTCTCTTTGAGCAGCCTCAACATAGGTTTGTTAAGTCATTTACGTCGAGTTCAAAAGAACGCAGGAGGGAAGCGGGGGACTCAAAGGGATAATTGCCGCTCGTGGACCACCAGCTACCGGCGCTTATCCGACTTTCCTTTCTTTCCTCGTCGCTGGATCTTGCAACATATGCTACTGTCCTTCTGTGGCCAGCTGTCTTCAGCCTCAAAGCATGAAGTACAAATAGACGAAACGCTCTGAGTATTCAGCCCTGTAGCGTTTGATGGCTATCGTGAACGCCTTGCGCCTAGAGAACGTGGGACTGACCTGAAGAGGCAGATCTCTGGACATAAACGGCACAATATCAGCCTCGTGAGGCCCTGGAGGCGTGACGTCTGCTGTGTTTCCTTGTGACTATTCCAACTCCCGGAAATCTCTCGTCCGCGGACTGGCCAGCCCTCCAGTATGAGCAGCCCACCCACTCGCGATGAAGTCTACCTTGTCGCCCGAAAAGCGACGAACGTATTCCGAGTTCAGGGCTTATCGTGCTGCCTTTTTGGAAGTGCGGGCTGCTCTCTGATTGGTTGCACTAGGACACCCAATGTGAGTATCTACTGTAAGTTCTCGGCTCTCCTTAGGATACTGAACCTGACTGTGCTCCGACATTTAGGACGTCGATATTATCGTCATGAGTAACGAGTACACGACGGAGTATCTCAAAGAGCTTCTCGTTAACAACGGGAAGGGGTTCTACAAGAGAGCATCGAAGAAGATCGATGCGACCTACACCGTGCTCTATTGTAGACTCTCTGGATACAAGAGATCATGCAAAGTTGACATCCTAATCCCTGGCATATTGAACATTCCGTTCATCGCGAGCAATAGGATCGAGATCATTGACGGGTTTCCCGTCTTGCCGCTCTTCCCGCTCCTTTTGATGAAACTTCAGGGCTGGTCCGACCATCGTGCATCGTCCAGAAGTGACATGCAGTTGAAACAATATGTCGATGCGAGGGACCTTGTTGAGCTTGTCGCCATAGCTGCTAGGAGGGGAGAACATGTAGACGATGGGCGTTGGTTGCCCACCAGTTTTCTAGAGCTTGCTACTGCTCGAGTCGCGGCTTTTGTCGAAGCCCATCGCCAGCCCACAAATTGGAGAAGGATTGGGTTTGATGTGTAGCGATTGGCTTCATTTCCTACCGACGATCCTGCTTCGATATCCTCACAACCGCTTTCCGTAGACGACGTGGCTATCTGTTCTTTCCTCGTGGCTCTGCTTTGATCTGTTCGCTATTGACCACTATCCATACAGACTCTTCTTATTCTATATATATACCATGGCTGCAAGTGGAAGACACGTTGTATCTTTATTCTCTACAACGGGAATCCCAGATTCTTAACATGATGAAACTGACCGGTTCTGAAACTCTCATTCGCAAGCAATCCAACTGCCAATGCCATAGCCCCGTCCCTCTCGTTGGCAGTCTGCTTCGACGCGTCACCGGTATCAACTTCTTCCCCGGGAAGAGGACCGAACAAGACACTCAACATACGACGATCACCTCCACCATGCTCGCCATGCTCCATCTTGATAGGTAAGTACTCGGGTTTCTGCCAAAGGTTGTGTAGCTTGACGGTTGCTTCACCAGGGTTAGGGAGCGCAGCTTTGCCATGGATCTGACCACCGGTGAGTTGAGGATCCGTGAGTTCGCGGTATTGCGACTCGACAACTTCAAGTTCGAGACGGCCAAGAGACCCGTTGAACATGACATGGTAGCCCTGATATGAGTCAATCTCAGTACACTGTTTTTGTCCCTACAAGGGTTAGCTTACCTCCCACGGCGAATACGCGGTCTACAGGAAGGAAGTTACTCAGCAATGCGCGGCTAATAGGTGAAAAGGACTAATCTCACTAAATGGTAAGACATGGTAGCACCAGTATTGTAGCGAACTAATAGGCCCATATCGTCTTCAATCCCGATACCTGGCGCGAATACCTAAAGTCAAAGGTACGTTAACTCTCGCGCTCAAGCCCTCTCAACATATACTCACATTTTCATCTCGATGATACCCATCCTCCTTTTCTGCATCAGCATAAATGCTTTTCAATGTCTCGTCTGCCTCCAAGTCCAAGGCAAAGGGGTCGTCCTTCGCCTCTGCAGAACCCCTTGCACGTTCGTAGTTTCTTGCCCATCCGTGCCGCTTACCGTTCTCCTCACCATAAAACGCCAATCTTCCCATGCCAGCGACAGTAACCGGTTCAGCATTTAGCCACCAGTTCACGAGGTCAAAGTGATGGCCCGACTTATGGACCATTAGGCCGCCTGAGTTGGTCTTCTGACGGTGCCAGCGACGAAAGTAGTCGGCGCCGTGAACGGTGTCGAGAAGCCATTCAAAGTGAACAGAGAGAACTGTGATGAGTACAATTAGGCGTAAGGTAGGATGATACAGAATCAAAGGTTCGTACCTTCACCGATCTTGCCTTCAGCGAGTGTCCTCTTGACGAGTTCGTGGACAGGGTTGTAACTGAAGAGGTACTGTAAGTCAGCGTCGCGCATTTAGCGTGTTGAAGTCAACTCAGCTTACCGATAGTTGAAGGTGACCGTAAGGTGCTGCCCTGTCCTCTCGACAGTCTCTAGAATTCGGCGACATTTCTCAATATCGGTGGTCATAGGTTTCTCGGTCAGGACTCTCACTATAACCAACTCGTCAATCCATAGTCTTACGTCACAAATAACCGTGCTTACCTCCTGCTTCCAGAGCAGGAATGATATATAGATCATGGAGAGCGTCGATACAAGTCACAACAAGGGTCTCGACTTTCTCCTTCTCCAACATCTCCTCGAATCCATTAGGTTTATATATGGGAACTGTGGGAGCACCAAGCTCCTGAAGCAGATTGTTGTAGTACGCTGCGCGAACGGCATTGGGTTCGCAGATGGCTACGACTTGGCTATTTGGTCGCTCCACTATCCCGCGGACGAACATCGAAGCCCTGCTACCAGTACCAACAATAGCAACACGACCACCGAGAGGCTTTTCGGATGAAGACATGTTTGGGTGAGTGCGAAAGTCAGGTACGTCTCGAAGATATACTGTCCTTTGGTATCATACCAAGCTCTACTGAAGACGAAGGACTGCCGGGCGGACCGAACTTTCGGTCCGTGTCTAGAGAGCGTTCATCTTCATCATTCAGGTATTTCGAGGTCATCCCACAGCCATTCTCTGAAAACGGATCCCGAAGGACGATAGCAAGTGGTTAAGAGTTTAGACGGCGCGGGGAAAGCGTGCCTGACTGTGGGGTATTGATCGAGCATCCCGGGATTGCGGCTTTCAAAGATATAGAACATATCAGTTGTTCAACTTTTACGGTCTCTGAGCCAAAAAGTCCAGCTGACCTGCGCGATCAGCCTCGTTAGCTCCGAACATCATGGACGCAATTGGCATGGTCTCCAAAATTCTGGACACAAGACTTGATATCAACACCAGGTATACTCCATCTGAATGCCTGTGTACGCTTGAACAACAGGATGAAGGCACGGTCCGTTCATCCTTGCGACGATGCCCTGTCATCGAACGGTCCGGGAATAACTGAAGTTGGATTCCAACAGAATTCGAGAAGGATAAAGTTTCTCGAGACGCAGACCATCAAATTCTCGCTGAAGGATCTTCGAGCTTTCTAGGTATCTTTCGTCAGGCTTGCTAGCACCCACCATCATGTCTTTTTCATTCCACACAAGTTCTCTCGAGGACTTGGAGAAGAAGATCGACATAGAACACACCGAGAATGTCGCCAGTCTTGGAGAGCCGCAGCTTGACAAGGGCGGACCTTCTGTAGTAACAAAAGGCAAGGATGAAGCATTGGAAGTGCTGGGCGACTCTTCTACCCCACTTCACATCACTCCTGAGCAGGACCGAGCAGTTCTACGCAAGATCGACCTCTGGCTCATGCCGGTGATTGTAATGGTCTATTTCCTTCAGCAACTTGACAAGTGTGTAGACTCATTTATTATGCGCATTTGATGACCTCTTCAATATACGTGTACAGGTCTTCTTTGTCGTATACATCAGTGTTCGGTATCGCAGACGACACGCGTATGTTTGACTCTTAGCTTTTCCTTAGGTTGATTGTTTGAACTCTTCTACAGACCTCGTTGGCTCGCAGTACAGTTGGCTTGGCAGCATCGTCTACGTTGCGCAGCTGGTCTGGCAACCAGTCTCCTCTTATCTCATTATCAAGATGCCCGTTGCAAAATATCGTAAGTTTAGTTGCGCAGTCTTTCCCCTCACGGGTTCCAGACGACCTGTCCATCTCACAGTCTTTGTGAACGTCTTCCTATGGGGCATCGTAGTTGCATGTACCAGTGCTGCAACTGACTTCAGCGGCCTTATCGCTTCTCGGTTCTTCCTTGGCATCTTCGAGGCAACAGTCGGTAAGCTTTATTACGATCGTAGCAGGGTTGCGTCTGAACTGACTGTCCGTAGCTCCATGCTTCATTACTGTCACGCAAATGGTATGCTGTATCCTCGGAGTTACTGTGATGTAGGTGGCTGAGATCTTCATAGTGGTGGCGCCGGAGAGAACAGACTCTTCGACTTGCGATTTGGTTCGCAGCAAATGGTGCAACTGGAATGGTATGTTCTAATATGTCGATATCATCACGATGACTGACTCTTCTTAGGTCGGATCTCTGTTAGCTTGGGGCCTGGGACACATTGGAGGATCGCTTCGACCTTACCAGGTGAGTGCATTGTGAATTACTTGTATTCCATCTCACTTTACCTTTTCTTTGAGACCATCTTCCTCTTTGTCGGTCTTCTGACTATCGTGTGCTCGCCTCTCGTATGGTGAGATGATAGCTCGTTTACAAGAAACCGCACACCTAACCGTTCTCGTCACCAGGATCATATTGCCCGATTCGCCGACGAAGGCAAAGTTCCTAAGCCACGACGAGAAGATCATTGCTGTCGAGCGACTTAGGGCAAACAACATGGTAGACCTGTCTTTTTCACTTTGTATTTACTCTGATATCCGGTTTAGGGCACCGAGACTAAGGTCTGGAAGTGGGATCAGGTTCTCGACCTGGTCCTTGACCTCAAGAGCTATCTCTGGTTTTCCATGCTCTTCCTTTGTGCGTATGTGCATTCGTTTTGAATGGCTGATTCGACATATGAATCGTTTGCATTCCCAGTCTTCCGAGTGGTGGCATTTCTGTCTTCGGACCTCTCATCATCAAAGGCTTCGGTTTCAACCAGGTACGTACATCATCTTCATTTGTACAGTATCTGTGGCCTCTCGATGTTAATAAAACACACTACAATCAGTTCCAAACCCTCCTCTTCAACATTCCGTTCTCAGCCTTGCAGGTCATCGTCGTCATCCTCTCTGCTTTGATATCGACGAAGCTAAAGCTGAAATGGCCCGTTATCTTTGGACTAACGCTGCCGCCAATTGCTGGTGCTTCCGCCCTCTTCGTTCTTGGCCGCGATCCATCCTTAAAAAATAAACTTCTCGGCTGTTACTACGTGGTAAGTACATTTTCACATTGCACCTTTGAACCTTGGGGGTATGACTAACTACCCTTGAATGGCTTGTAGTTGTCGGTGTTCATAGGCCTTCAGCCCATGCTCTATGCTTGGGGAAGTCAGAATACCGCTGGCCATACCAAAAAGTTATGCACCACCGGTAAAGCTCTTTTCCCCCTTTCGTGGAACATTCATTTACTTCGACTCAGGTCTCATGTTTGTCGCACAGTGTGTTGGCAATGTAGGCTACTCAGTCTTCTCATCTTACCCTTGAATTTAATAGTTTGTTCACAGATCGTCGGTCCTTTACTTTTCACCACCGAGGAAGCCCCTTACTACCGTCGTGGACTGATAGCAGAGTGTGTCTGTTCTCACTCGCCCATGCTTTAGCTCACGACAGACCGACCTCTAGTCTAATCTGCTGGATCGTTCTTGCCGTTCTTGTCCTGTACGTATGCAGAGATTTCTCATCATCCAATCAGGCCCTTACGTCTCATTCTGCATCCAGGTTCACAGCGGTCTATCTCGCCTTCCTCAACAAACGACATGCTGCTAGACGTCGTCGTGCGGGCAAGACCGCGACCGTGGTCGACACGTCTTTGGAAACGGCTGTTGAGTCCGCTCGCCTTCAGATTCAGAATGAGGAGAATGGAAGGAAAGAGGGTGCTGATGCGTCGGCTTTGAACGGACGTGCTTTCGATGATCTGACTGATGTTCAGAACGAGGATTTCATTTACGTTCTGTGAATTTCTCTCCCTCCCGCTGACGTCGGTAACAATGATGGCTTCCGTAAACTGCGCTATACAACTGTACTATAGAATTTCTTTATACATGGCGAATCTATCATTGTCTGCAAGCTAGCTGCGGACCGCTAAATTGCACATGCCTTGCGTGATTTCTCAAACGGTACAGAGTGATTCGGAGTGTCGCCGTACATTGGTACAGTTTATTCTTTACGACTATACAAGCTTTCACTAAAACCATGCACACATACAAATACAGAGTTCATTAATCTTAGCTCGACATTCAGCCGCTCCAGGATGTCACCCGGTTCCGAATGGCCGAGTCCAACGCCTCATCGATGGATGTCTCTCCACCAATGATATCTAACGACAATCCATCCGCATCTGGTCGGTCCACGAGGAGCGCAAGGGTCTTTGCAACGTCGTCGCGCTAGACAAACTTTAGTTATATGCGTACCTAAGTGAATTGACCAGATTAACTTACACTAATACCTGGTGTAATATGAGTCATTCCGATGGAAGCTTTACCGGTCCCAGGTGTCTCCAAGAGTTCCGAGGCACGAAGGACGGTCCACTTGAAAGCTGTGCGTTTATGCAAGTCCTTCTCCGCCTCATACTTCCATGTCATATAGGTTGAAAGAGTTTTCCAGAAGGCATCGGATACTCGAACATCTTCTTCGTTCTGATAGATCATGACTGGGTGTCAATGGTAGGAATTATGAATGTGCGTGGCTTGTTGACTTACATAATAGTGAGGAATCTTGTTTCGGTCTCTAGCATCAATGGCAGAGACAAGGAGGAGTCTTGGCTTCTCTCCCTTGATCGCCTCTATTGCGTCAAAGACCTTTACAGCGCCTTCGTAGTCAACCGCTTTGGTGCGTTCTGGTCCGCCTTTTCCGCCTGCCCCAGCAGAGAATACTACGACGTCAGAGCCTGCAAAGACAGCACTGAACTGTTCAACTGGGTCACTCTCCAGGGAGAGAATAATCGGAATCGCCCCAGCTGCCTTAACCTCAGGGGCATGCTCGGGGATATGGATGATTGAAGTAACCCTAGCGGTTGACTTCAGAAGACGAGATAGTCGGAGCCCAACCTGACAAGGAAATGGTGAGCCTAAAACAAAGGCAAGTAGGGAGAAAATGAGTGATTGTTACCTTGCCATGGCCGCCTACGATAGTGACTACCTTGGACATGATGATAGAAAGAGTAAGGTGAGGGAAAACAGGATGACGCTTGCCTCTTTATACCGTTATTCACTGTGAGCTGTTAATGATGTCAGGGAAGACGAAAATGACGCGTCCGCTGCACAATTCATCCCTATCCGACGGGTCCGAGATGAATAGGGGGCTCTAGCCTCTACGTAGCATTGGCCCCGCAGGAGAGCTTACAAAGGACCTTACGATTTATAAATCGTAGGGGAGCAGATACCGTTGTCGAGCTGCATATAGTCGCGGAACGGAAAGGAAGTGGTAATCGGACGTCCGATGGCTGGCGAGAGAAAGTCGAAATGGAGCATATGCATTGTGACTATGCAGCAAGTAGCGATTGAGATACATTCGCTCCTATTAGTGTCTACGATGAGTGATCCTGGGCGTGCTGCTGAAAACTGAAGTAACATGCGAAGGAGAGTTATGTTGAAAAATGCAGGGAAGACCCTTAAGACCAGTACTTACATACTGTGTCACGATCATATGTACTATGTCACGATCATAACTGATCATAAACGTGACAGAATTTTGATTAAGCGCCTATATCTTGTTGTTTCAAAATTAAAGCAGAGGTGCCCTCCACGACCACCTCACGTACCAAACGGATTAGCTTTCCTACCAGTAGGATATAAAACAATGGCTTCTGCATCAACCTCTCAGGTGTCCCATCCGGTCGTGTTCACCACTCAGACCCCGTACTCCCTCCCCTCCCAAAAGTTCATGATACCTGCGTCATGGAAGCGGTATCAACTTTCTCAGCTCGTGAACAAGGCATTGTCTCTCCCAAAACCTATTCCATTTGACTTCTTAGTCCGAGGGGAGATCCTCAGAACTACTCTGGGAGAATGGTGTGCGGAAAAAGGGATCGGAGAGGTATGTCCAATCGTTTGTTTTCTTTCTCCTGCAAGGCTCAATGGTTGCGTTGCTGGGCTGAAGCGTATGTCATGGTCGTAGTACTAATTTTTGATGTAGGAAGAAACCCTCGAAATCGAGTACTTCGAGTCCATTATGCCCCCACAGAGAATGTCTTCGCTTCCTCACGAGGACTGGGTATCGTCTGTCTCAAGTAGGTTATCTAGGTCAGTACATTATTACTTCAACCTTGAGTTTCTGTCTGAGTTTCTGTTATTTAGTCACTTCCTAACGGCATCATACGACGGCCAACTCCGAGTATTCGACTACTCTCAAAAGCTTCTCCGCACTGTACCTCTGCACGATGCACCGACCACTTCTCTCGCGATCATCCCAAGTGATCTTGCCGGCTTCGCAGAAAACACGCATCTCATCGCCAGTGCTTCACATGATCTCACAGCCCATCTCACCAAGCTCTCGCTCTCCGACTCTTCAGACTTGCCTTCGCACCAAATTCTGGCTTCACTGCACCTTCATACCGCTCCTTTATCCTCTATCTCTGCTAATACGTCTGGAAAGCACCTGCTTACTGCTTCTTGGGATGGCCTCATCGGTCTTTGGGATACCCTTGTTCCTTCTTCGGACGAAGTTCCCTTGGAAGAACCTCAAGGGGGTGAGAGAAAGAAAAGACGGAAACTCGGGGATAGTGAAAATTCCAAGCCCAAACGGAAGGCGCCTTTGAACGTCTTGAAAAGTCATACCGCGAGAGTGTCGAGAGCATTGTTCGCACCAAGTGGTAATCAGGCGTATAGTACTGGTTTTGATTCGACTATTCGGACATGGGATGTTGAGAACGGTGTATGTTTGAGCACAATTGTACGTTTTATTTTTGTTTCTGATTGGATTGCCGGATTGGCTAATTTTTACTTTCGTAGACCGCTTCTGCGAAACCTTTCCTAGACCTTGCGCTCACTCCTTCGGGAACAAGCGTACTGGCGGCCTCAACCGACCGCACTGTCTCCCAATATGACATTCGTGCACCAGAGTCCGCGGCCACACCCTCCTCTGCGACGTTCATGCACTCCGGCACGCCTTCCTGCATCGCCGTCCCGGCTAGCGGGTCAGAACATCAGTTCATGACTGGTGCTTACGACGGTGTAGTGAGATTGTGGGATTTGAGAAGCACCAAGGGTGCGGTGACGAGCTTCAAGGTTTGGGAAGCCAAAGGTGGCGGCAAGGTCTTGAGTTTGGATTGGGGCAATGGTGTGGCTGTTATTGGAGGCGAGGGAGGTGTCGAGGTTTGGAAAGCCAATCAGGGGGATCGCAGTGTGGTGTCTTCAAACTAATGTTCACTTTCACGACAGCTCAAAAGTACTTAACTACGTTTGTTGGTCCACTGAGGTGAATCTTGTCTTATCTTGTGATATCTGAGAAGTAAGGAGCACGTTACAAACGAAACTCATCTATGGTAGTTAAAATGGTTAACAATATGCAGTGAAAGAAGTGAGCTACAACGAAAGAGGAACGCTCCCGAGACCACACGGACCTTAAACAGAATGCGAAGACTGGATGTACAAATATGAAGGGAAAAAAAGATACAATGAGGCGGCAGAAAGGAAGTCATATATGGGTTTATATCTTATGGACCTGCAGACAAGCCGGGGAATAGCGTCAATAGAGCAGAGGCCTCACTACAGGTTGCTGTAGAGTCCCTGGTCTTTGCGCAGTTTGGTCATAGCTAGTAGACACGACTATCAGTGCCAACCGTCCATCCATGACTTTCACCTATACTCATACCTGCAACAATGGCGCTACCAATGCCACTTCCGTCCTCTGCGTGATGGGTGACAATGTTCCTAAGGATGACTCCAAGTGAATAAGCTGTTCAACACTAAGAGGTACGTATCGACATACCGCCCCTTCTCTCCGAAGATGTCCTGCAAGCCTTCGTGTATTCTATCAGCAAAACCAGGGTATTTCTGAATACCCAGCCATTAGCAACATCCTTTGCTGAAGTAAGACTCCTGGAACTCACATTGTACAGTGAACCGTCCGCGCCGACAGAGCAACCTTCTTCAAGGTAACCCATCTTGCTGACGATGGCGGCGATACCGCACGCACTTAGCCTTGCTGCCCGTCGACCTACCAGTCTCGCAAGTGCACGGAAGAATTGACGTTCGGCGAGTGTTGTCTCAAGAGCGAAGAAGTGAGAGAAGATTCCAATGACCATCAGCAGTTCATCGGTTGGGTCGCTATTGCAAATGTACATCAGATCAGGAGACAGGGACAGGAAAGCCGGAAGTAATGATGAACGAACCTCTCCATTAGCGAGAGGAAGGCGGTATCAAAGCTGTAAGGGATTTCGATTTTATAAGTGTTTTGGCCCAAGAAGACGACACCTTCGTCTATGAGTTCGCAAATAATTAATCGAAGAATCTCGCCGAGATAACGACCAGAGATGAGTTTCTAGGTGAGCGAGATGTCAGCGGAAATCGCGTAAGCAAGGATAGAATCCAAACCTCGAACGCCTGTTCGCCGGGTTTATTTGAAGTCTCGTCAATGGTGATGTCATATTTTGTTCTCGGCAGGTGTTCATGTTCAAACGAATCAAAGGCACCCTGGGCGGAGGTGTGTCTGGTTAATCCAATCTCGGCGGATATAAAACGCCTTACCCATTCGCAATTGATAGCCATCTCCGCTTCCGGGTCGATACCCAAATGCGCAATCTTGGGTATATCACGAACTCGCTCCATGTATGCGGCATTGCAACCAGTCCCAAAGATACATGCGATCTTGGTATCTGGATTTACATAGTGCGATGCGATGAGTGTTCCTGTTGTATCACAGGTGAGAGCTACGACTTCAGCTGGAACATCCTGCATGAATTATCAGGTGTGCACAGCGTCCAGCGACCATCACGGCTGATCGAAGTAGGACGTACGTGTTGTGAGAGACTGTTCCTGAACATCTCGACAACATCCCGGCCTTCGGTATTCGGCGCACCGAAGCCCTTTGTCCATCTAATGAGAGTACCATGGTCGATCTTTTCTTGCCTAGATGATGCCAGTCCTGAATACAACAAGGAAGATGCAAGCAAGACGGAACTTCTTACGAGCAAGGATATGAAAACTGCATGAAAGAAGGTCAAAAATTGGGAACAACAAGACAGGCGAAAACAGCCGTGGGCACTCACCGTGAAGCCAAGAGGAAGTATCCGATCTTTAGATAGTTCGCCGCTCTCAACTATTGAGTCCGTGAACGCCTTCAGGCATTTGCCACAAAAGTCAAAGAGTTTCTCGCCATCTTCCTGTTTCTGCTCCTCTGTAAGCCGGTACTTTGCCTGCGTGATCTCGAATTTGCCGCCGCCGTTCAATTTCACGAGACAAACTCGAAGGTTTGTACCGCCTAACATGGGACGGGATCAGCATTTTACAAGGATATCCAAAAATAGGCAAGGGAAGACATACCGAGATCTACTGCCAGGAACTCTCCTGTTTCCTCACCTGACGGCCAGCCGAAGACATACGTCGGAATCATGGGCTGCGGTTAGGAGGTTTAATACGACTACATCGCAGACTTCACTGGAAGCCACACACAACAACTTGACCAGACTTCGACAGGCCGAGTTCCAGAGAATCCTTGAATGCCTCCACAATCATCCTCATTCGTTGAGGTGTCATGGTGAACCTATATATGCGGGGTCACTCCTTGCCAGGAGGTTGTTTTGGATAGAAACTGACATTGTCTCGAACCTCCTGAGATGGTCCGCCATCTTCCTATCATAACGAATCTGAAACTGAATGACATGAGCAGCATACGAGCGCGATCATAAACGTACTTCTTGGTTGCATGGGGGAGATCATCCACCTCGCTCGTGCGAGTATAGGCTAATGTATGGCCGGTGGGCAGGGTAACACTGGAACTTCCCCGTCGAGAAGCCATGGTCTATCGTCGTCGCTGTGTGAGATATGAAAGGAATGGGAGGAGAGAGACGGAGGGGAATGGCGAGAAGGTGAACGGTGGAGACTGCACTAAGATATCGATCCTATACAGATCTATAAGTATCTGCTAAATTATATCATACTTACATTCAATGTCCGATAGTTAACACTTTGATAATACGCGGTAGACGCTCCATTCTTGTTCTCTTAACGACTAGGGTCATGATTGGCCTCAAGGGTACTCTCAATGTCCGTTCTCTCTCATCTCTATCGCTACCCTCTAGCTTAATCTTCTTAACAGATCATAGACAACTCAGGTGCCCTCCTTGTGGAGTGCGTCAATGTCTTGAAACAAAAAGTCAACAACGGCTGGGGTAGCGTCGGAGACGAGATTGTCTGCGTCATCAAGAAAGCTCGCCCAATTACCGGAGCTGCCTCGAACGCTATCAAGGTTCGGAGAGGGGACGTCCGACGTGCTGTCATAGTTCGAACACGGAAACCAGTACGGAGACCAGACGGTCGATTCGTGCGTTTTGACGATAATGCCGCCGTTCTGCTCAACAACAAGAGGGAGATGTTGGGTACTCGTATAGGTGGTGTCGTCAGCGCCGACTTGCGTATGAAGGGTTGGGGGAAGATCGTCTCTTTGGCTCCAAAAGTGAGTGTTTGATCTTCGGCTCTCTCACATTCTCCTCATCAACTTCTCGACAGGTCCTGTAATACACGTCTGTTTGACTCATTCTGCTAGGACACTATTCTATGCTGTACTTAATGTCCATCTGCATGCATGTCCCCTACAATTCAACCACAAAAGGACCCTGGGTTGACCTCGCCCTCATTGGTGTACTCTGTCAACATTTCGATGCAACATCAGAACAATGCTGCTTCTCTTTAGCTTGCATACTCTGTAACCGGCTGCGACCATTGGATTTCGGTGAGTTTGAGAATGAAGAACGGTGCAAGTGAGATTTGAACTCACGCCAGGATACCCCAAATGAGAGAAACCGCAAGCTGTACTGTCTGTTTTAAGTATCAAAGCCCTCTTGGCTTCTTCCAAATTGAATGAGCGTACATTCAATTCGGATACCTCAGTTTCGGAAGGCTCGAACGTATACCATATTGATAAATATTGTCAACGAGACTAGCGAAAGTTGTACGGGCCGAACAGGATGGCTCAACTACAGCAGTATGTGTAATTTATCATCACGCTCATGAACAGAGTCCAGGCTAAGCTGGCCGATATTAAAGATTTTTGAAGAAGCCATTTCATATCGAGCGCCCTTTGGGCGAGGACAGCGTATATAAATGGTCCGAAGTCTGGTGCAATCCTGGATTTCCTTTCGCCTGCTGGTCATCATAGATATCATCCTAGGCTATGCTCACGAAGGTATGCACTTATGACGTGAGTTACACTCGCCCCACCCTGGCGATCTCAACCCACCGGCGTGTTTAGGCTGTTCCTGGATACTTTGTTCAAGGTGATCAGCCACCTTCCCCGGCATCAATAATCGCAGTAAGTATGATACTGTACCTTTGCACTCTCGCTAACCACGTAGCATATCACTTGTCAGGTACCTCCACGGTTTGGACTTAAAAATGACGGGGAAGATGGTTGGCACGATTTCAAATCAACGATCGACGAACTCAATGCAACGGATCCTGCGAATGCGGAATACAAAGTTTTATTTCTAGGACGGCATGGAGAGGGTTACCGTGGGTTGATTAGCCTTTAAGAATAACGAAATCTGAGTCTATGCTCAGATAATCTTGGACGGAAGAAGTATGGTAAAGAGGTGAGTGTCGTTCGACGTTCAAACAGCAGGTACCACCGACTTGTGACTTGACTTTGCTCACAGGAATGGATGAGGTAAGGATGATATATCGTGAGGTAGGCCGTCTTCGTTACTCGAATAATTTACTGTTTCGCAGATATTACTCCCTTATTGGTGGTGACGATGAGATGACATGGGCACCGGATGCACAACTCACCCCCCTCGGACACACGCAAGCTTATGCTGTTCGTGACGCGTGGAAAGAAGAGATTAAATGCGGCATTCCCATTCCCCAGCGATGCTATGTCAGTCCACTGCGGAGAGCCCTGGAGACATGGACTGATATATTCAGCGGTAACGGACGTCATACTGTACTTCCAGGCGATCGACGCATAGTGACCATCGTCGAGGTATTTATGTTCTTCATGGTCACTTCACTCGTTGCCCTGAATCCAAATACTTCATACCCTATAGAACTGTCGTGAGAGTTATGGGCTTCATCCATGTGACATGCGCTTGTCGAGGTCGAAGCTGCAAGCTTTCTTCCCTCCGCCTATGTATCAGTTCGAACCTGGCTTTACTGAGGAGGACGTTCTATGGTCTAAGGACGAACGTGAATGTGAGGAACATATCAGACAACGCGCAAGGTATGTCCTGGACATGATCTTTGCAGAGCCTGAAATATGTACGTGCTTCATCGTTCGAATCATGTCTCGGCATGTTTTATGTTCGACTATAGATGTATCTGTCACCACACATGGCTGGTTCATACGAGGCCTCCTTGCAGAAATTGACCACGCGCCGCACGCAATCCCTACTGGAGGCAAGCAGAACACCCACCTTATGAATTACTGACATTCTTATCAAAGGCCTTAGGTGTACTTCCAGTCGTGATCAGACGCGAATGGCGGCACGTTAACTGAATCGCGATAGGAAGCCCAGGGTATCTCACAATGACATCGCTTCCAACTTCACTGATGACGGATCGAAACTGTCGCCAAATATATCTCATTGGCATTGTAGCTTGAGATGGTACCATACTAGTATACTCGCAAGATGACGCAAATCATCCAAGCCTCGCCTTCTTCCTAGTATGCCCCGCGCCACCTACGCTACCGAAACTTCCGGCACTGCCCTTGCCTGACAACTGGGCTTGAGCTTGAGCGGCTTGAAGCTGGCTAGCTGCAGTCGTCTGCAGTTGAGATGTTGCGGCGACTGCTGGTAAGGGCATCATCGACGGTGCGTCGTCTTGTGTGATACGTCGGTTGGGAGGTATCTGATGTTGTGGGAGGCCGTGGAAAGCACTAAAAGTCGTAAGCATGAACAAAACCGTATACCGCATATACGTTGCAGAGGAGAGTAAACTTGGGAAACACTCACTTTGCAGTAGGTTTCGGTGTTTCTTGGAACCATTGATGTTGCAGAGCCTCCTTGGCTGATAGTCGTTGATCGGGATCATATTTGAAGAGTTGATTGAGGAAATCAAAGCCTTGAGCAGTGGCAAGGCTCTGTCGAGACATGCACCATTTGTGGAGCTGAGTGTTGTACCTTGAATGAGACATTTAATGCAAGCTCAGTAGAGAAAAGACGTGGAATACCTACGTATCCATCCGCTTCATGTTCTGATACTCCGGCATATTCTTCAGACCCTCCCAATCATGCTCTAAGATGACGGAATATTAGCTGGTTGGATCAAAACAGCTTATGTATACAACGTCACCATTCGGCGTCCCAAGGACTTCGAAAATCTTGAGCAGCTGGTCCTTCTGGAACGGAACATTCTTCTTCGAATCCAGCTTCGCCTCCTCACCCTTGAAGATAGGCCTCAAACTCGCCAACTCCGCTACGACACAGCCCACAGCCCATATGTCAACCGCCTTGTTATAATGCTTCGCCCCGAGCAATAGCTCTGGCGCTCTGTACCAAATAGTAACAACGACTTTATCACCAGCGAAAAGGGGCTGGAGAGGTTCCTGCGTGAGACGAGCGAGACCGAGGTCACCAATCTTCACAACGCCTTGATGCGTAATGAGGATATTGGCAGGTTTCAAATCTCGGTGTATGATATGAGCATTGTGCAGGTATAGAAGACCGTTAAGGAGCTGGTACGTGAGGGATTTGAGGACGGATGTTGATATGTTGGAACGAAGGGTCTGTGAATGATGATGTATCACTTGCTTTGAGAATTTGCCGTTAGCCGTTGGAGATCGTGACAAACGTTAGCAGCACATACTAAGAAATCATGTTCGGCATATTCGAAAACCATATAGATTGACTTGTCCTCCAAGAGTACCTCCTTCAGTGCGACAACGTTCTCATGGGATATTTCTCGATTAAGCTGTGGAATTGTATAGTGAGGGAGGAGCGGACGTAGAAAGTAGAATGGACGTACTGCAATCTCTCGAATTGCGCTTTGGCTGATGCCAGTGTAGGTTACAACATCGCCCTCTTTGTCGGGTTTGAACTTCTTGATAGCATGGATCTGACCATCCTCCTCTTTACTCCTCGCTTGATAGACCCGACCATAAGTCCCCGAGGAAATAAAGCCGAGGATGGTGTACTTGTCTCCAACGCGCCGCCGAGCACTGTCACGCTTCGCCCGGTAAAAGCGCATTGGATCCTGCATAAACATATTGGAAGACTCTGCGCTGAGCATGGAGAACGGGACCCAGGAGGAGCATTGTCTTGAGGTGATGGATGAGGACTAACCGGTACTAACCTAGTACTAACCCAGCATACGCGCCTGTTGCCGCCACCTCTCTCTAACCGCAACGACCACATACCCTTCCTGTCGTTCACGATGGCGAAGTCTCAGGATAGCTTCATGTTTACTGTTGGCAAGCTAGGTGAGCAGCCCACTCATATCGCACACCTCTCCCCCGTCTGACTTTGCGTAGATGCTGGCATGGCCGTACGCACATCTACCATATTCACTTCGGCCTCGTACAGACAAATTCATTCATTATAGATTCTTTTGGGTGAACGTGCCCATCTTATCGAGTTCCCGTCATTGCTGCTCCCCCCGGGTGCAACGACGGGGTCTATCGTAAACATTTCCGTTTCGCGCAACATCGCAGAGGAGAAGAAACGCGATTCGGAATTCTGGGACCTCCAGAATAACATCCTGACGAACTACGGTGTCAAGACGCCAGAACCTCCTAAGCTCGAGGTCTGTACTACTCATTGTACGATCTTGAACTGCAACTCAGCCAAGTTTCGTAGGTTCGCAATGTCACTCAGACGTCGGTCACCTTGGAATGGCCAAAGCTAGAGCTTGCTACGGCTAAACTACGTTCCCTCGATATCTATCGCAACCACCAACGTCTCGCTGCTATACCTTCTCCTCTTACAAATACCTCGACCAAATTGTCTGGACTTGCCATTGACACCGAGTACAGGTTCCACCTCGTCATGCGTACTACCGCTGGGACATTCCAGTCCAACATTCTCCGCGTGCGCACGCATACTATGACTGACACTTCTGGTATCTCCGTTTGCTTCGGTAACGTACAGGATCCCGTCTTGCTGGAGAATGCGAAGCTCGCTTTGCGTGAGATGGGTGCGAAATGGAGCGACAAGATCCAAATCGATACAACGCACTTCGTCTGCACCACACCTGCGGCGACGCCGAGCGGAGCGCAAGCTACGGGCAGTATCTCCAGTTCTCCAGGAGTTGAATACCAGAAGGCGCTGCAGCTGAGTATACCCGTCGTCCATCCAAATTGGATTCTCGCTTGTCATACGGAGAAAAAGTAGATTCCTCCTTCTCTTTTTTATATCCGCGCCTGACTTTACCTTCTCCAGGATGATCCCAATTCATCCGTACTACCTTGGTGCTAGTTCATCAACGCCTATCAGTTCTGCGCCTTTCTCGCGCCCACAGTCCATGTCACAGGTCACTCTTCCTTCGCCCTCGTCTCGCGCCTCTCCAACTCATGCGAAGACCAACAATCGTCAATCAATGCCGCCACCTCAGCGTGTTACGGCATCCTCGCCACCAGCGTCATCCTTCGTCAATCAAACGCAACACATCAAACCGATTGAGCCGACACCTGAAGAGGAGGAGGAGGAACCAGAAAACGGGGGTCTCAAGGTTATCGGTGATAGAACTGACGAAGAGTCGGATCAGGATGACGCAGAACGAGCTGGTCGCACTCGTAAGGGCACAATGAGCAAGAATTTCCGATTCCCACCTACATCGGCGGAGGCTCCACCACCTCCAGTTCCTGATCTTCCTCCGCTTCAACAGCAACAGCCTAAACACGAGCAGGAGCAGCAATCGCGTCAACCAGATCATGAGTCGATCGATACAGAGGACGCCTCACTATCCGTTGTCCCTAACATCATCACACCATCTGCAGTGGAAGTTCCGCCACCTCCTCCGGTTGAGAAGGAGCGGTCTCCTGGATTATCGAATGAGGTGGGAGACGAAGAGCTTGGGGAGACGGAGGAGATCTCATTGACCTGAACATTAGCACTGTGTCCGTAATGTTTTATCTGGCTTATTTATACAGAAGAATGTATTAGAATCAGGGTTAGGAAGCCGTCAGGGATTAGGGCGAAGTGGACGAGCGTCTGTGGAGGGAAAGCCTAACCTGGTTGATATAGAGGATAAAGGAGTTGAGTAGTTACGAAGTACGCATGCGGATTTTGTTGAAGTGGGGAGATGATGATGAGATATATGGTAAGATGAAGCAGAGATATGAAATTGGACAAGTATGCAGGATGGGAGAAGAGGTTGATGTGAAGTACGCATGCGGATTTTGTTGAGTGTATGGGTCAAAGTACAGATAAGATATGAGTATGGACTCTGGTAAGAGCAATGTCGATGGAGTGATTGAATTGATGGAAGCCATGCATTAAATTGAGAATGTCAATTTATACAGAAAAATGTATTAGAATCAGGGTTAGGAAGCCATCAGGGATTAGGGCGAAGTGGACGAGCGTCTGTGGAGGGAAAGCCTAACCTGGTTGATATAGAGGATAAAGGAGTTGAGTAGTTACGAAGTACGCATGCAGATTTTGTTGAAGTGGGGAGATGATGATGAGATATATGGTAAGATGAAGCAGAGATACGAAATTGGACAAGTATGCAGGATGGGAGAAGAGGTTGATGTGAAGTACGCATGTGGATTTTGTTGAGTGTATGGGTCAAAGTAAAGATAAAATATGAGTATGGACTCTGGTAAGAGCAATGTCGATGGAGTGATTGAATTGATGGAAGCCATGCATTAAATTGAGAATGTAAATTGGTGAAAATTGAAATGGTGCATGTACGAGGTGTTGACACAATCCGTGTGCGGATTATGTTGATGCGGATACAAGTAATATTATTATAGACGCAATCCGTGCGCGGAATTCATCTCTCCATACCAAATCCGTATGCGGAATTCATCTCTCCATACCAAATCCGCATGCGGAATTCATCTCTCAAGGCCAAATCTGCACACGGATTTTATTGAATTGATAAGTGATGATGGAACGAACATTGGAGGTTGTCAGATGTGGTAGTTGATTGGTGGCAGTCTTGACATAATTGTGAATATCTGTGTCTCACTAGCAGTAGATAGCGTGGGTCACCGAGAGATGGTTAAAGAGTGTTATATTTGCTCATATATACTGTATTATGTATAGGACAGAATGGATAGAGATATATATATATATATTCTTTGGTATTGCATTATACCCGTAGAGGCCGAATGTGGTTAGGGTTACATTGATGGCGATGTGGGCGAAGGATGGAGATGGTGAAGTTGGACGTGGTGAGGAACTGTTGAACTGACCTTCACTGATCTTGACCGATAGGAGATGTCAGGCAAACGAAACACAGGCAAAGCGAAGAGCAGGAGGCGGAGTAGTAAAGGGAAGATGAAAGCGAGGAGAGGCCGAAAAGAGGTATGTCGGATAGAGATTTCAGTGGATAGAATGAGTACTGATAGGAACGGTGAGGACAGATGGAAGAGATTAGAGAAGAGATAGTGGAGAGTGTGAGCAGAGAGATGATGGAGTCAGGAGAGGTAAGTAGATGAGGATTTGTGTGATTGATTGGAGAGCTGGGGCTGATTGATGAGAATGGATGCAGGCAGAGATAGACGGCGGACAGATAGCAGGGACGCCAGAAGTAGTTGATGCTCGAAAGATGGTGGAGAAGATAAGGAAGAGACGGCAGAGAGGAGTGAAGAGTACAGGAGAGGTGCGTAAAGAAAGCAGTGGGTGAGAGGAGACTGATTGTGATAATACTGCAGGGGGTTGAGTACGGGAGAGTGAGTGAGGAGATGATGAAAGCGGTAGTGATGCACAGTGCGGCAGTGGAGGGATTCCTGGGATACGGATTGGCAGTTGTTGTGGGATCGGGGGATCAGATGGTGTCTCGGCGGGGAGTTTCATCAGAGGTCCAGAAGAAGAGGGTATATTTTGAGGTTGAGGAGATTGGTGAGGGGCAAGTTGATTCGGAGCGGGTTGAGGAGTTGGCGAGAAGCTTGTGAGAAGGAATGGGGGCGGAGTACGTGAAGAACCGAATTGCGATTGGGGTGTATGCGGAGGAGTTGAAGGAGGGATGTCTGAGGAATGAAGTTGTGGATGTTGGAAAGCTGAAGTATGTGGAAGGGAAGGGTGGGGAGGGGAGGATTGGGGAAAAGATGTGGGTAGTGAATGGAAAAGAATACAGAATGGCTTGGGCGAAGTGGGACGATGAACTGTGTGGTGAAGCGGAACGGCTGGAAGAGGTGATGGGTGAGTATGGAGAGGGAAAGCGAGAGTATGACGAGGAGTACGATAGGGCAGAGAAGAGAGTGAGGGAGATTGAGATGACGGTTGGGAAGTACGGGACATGGGTGGTGGAGGTGTTTGACGAAAGTGAGTATTCGGGGAGTTCTGTGGAGGGAGAGAGAGCTAACGAAAATGGGATTTGATTCTGCAGGGAAGGTTGAAGGGCGGGTGGGGCTTGGAGAGTATTTGGGACGGAAAGATCGGAGGGAGAGGGTGGAGGAAATGAGTGGGGAGCGAATGACGCGTGCATTCAGGAAGGTGATTGAGAAGTCGAAGGAGTTGAAAGATTTGAGAGTTGAGGCAGGAAGCTCGAAATGGAATGAGGGCGTAAAGAAGGTGGCATGGGTGAAGGAGAAGAAGTGGAGGGAGGTGTTGAAGGATGAGGAATGGATAGAGGTGATGTCGCGATTGTTGGAGTTTGAGTATTTCTGGAGTGGAGGAATATGGATGGGAGGGATGGAGGAGTACGATGTGAAGACGATGTGGGGTGGGGTAAGTGATTGCGATAGGAAAAAGAAAAGAGAGAGTGCTGACCAGGCATGACATTGTTGCAGGTGATACTGCATATGGTGAGAACGGCAGTGAAGGAGCTGGAGGACCTGTGTCGAGTGGGATTTATGGGTAGAGAGGAAAGGGTTCGGGATGTGTTGAGGGAATGGGAGGAGATCTCAAGGCGAAAGAAAGGGCTGTTGGAAGGAGAAGAGTTGGATCTGGAGACCCGTATGCGGGTGATTGATATTGGGGAGGTGGGAGAAGAGATCCGGAGGGATTGGGGCACGACGAAGATTGATGCGTCAAGATACGATGGGTTGGCTCTGGAAGAGATTGACAAGACGTGGTGGGAGATCTTCGAGTTGAGGAAGGAGGGAGGGCTTGCGAGGTATGAGAGCTGGATGGAGGCTCGGAAAGAGTATTGGGATGAGGTTCGGGGGATTATGAGGAAGAGGTGGGTAGAAGGAGGGGGGGTTGATGAGGCGGAGTGTTCGAGCAGGCTTGCACGGCTTCAGTGGCATGAAGGGCAAGTGTATCCGGCGACGGAGCTGCTGACGACGGGGTACATGATGCGATCTGTGGAAGAGTTCTCAGAAGCGAGTGAAGCGATTCAATTGGTGAGTGCTATGATGCATTGAAAGGGTTCGAAGTGAAATCTGCATGCAGATTTTGAAGTGTATGGATGAGGCAAAATCCGCATGCGGACTTTGTCGACGACTGCGCGATGAGCCACATGTGAGAGGAGATGAACGAAATCCGCATGCGGAGTTTGTCAGCACTTGGCATCATGAGACAGGATGTAGGGAAGTGAGAGACGAACTCCGCGCACGGATTTGGTTGCGAGATGACATATGTGATTGTGCTTGGTGGAGTTGATCGCTAATGAGGGGATGATTGGTTACAGGTTGGGCTGATGATTGAACCGATGCTGCCTTACATTCAAGGGCAGCAGAAGCATGGATATGATACAGCTTGGCACTCACTGAGAACGGTGCTTGGAAACTCGAAGAATTGGGTATCAGATACATGGGAGAAAGTGAGTATGAGCGGAAGTCTGAAGCTGCATTTGAATGTGATTCTGATGCATGGACATACAGGTGATGGCATTCATGCTGACAAATAGCAGATTTCTTGAGGGCGTGCAGGAGTTACTGAGGTGGAACGTTCCTCGGGCATTGGCGAGGCTGATTCATGTCACACGAGCTGAGGCGAAGGCATTTCTGGCACGGGACGACGAGTCGCTGATGAAGGATGGCCTATTTGGCATGTTTCTGGACCCTGAGGGGAATATACGCACAATGGCCGGGATGAGGGAGCAGGTGAAGAGGGTGCAGGGGTATTTAGATTCGGAGATGAGAAGAGGGGGAGCGCCATTCATGAACATGACGGCGGAGGATCAGCACTGGATTCCCGAGGTTATATTGGCTAAAGGAACGAATGAGCCATTCTGGGTCAGCGCGGGGGGGACGACATACCAGAAGAACAACAAGGCGGCAGCGCCAGTAATGGTGGTGACATTTGCGATGATGGCGGCAGTATTGGGAGAGATTGGTGGAGAAGAGACATTTATGGAGATGTTGGAGATGCTTCATGATGTTCTGAGGCAATGTTGGAAGGACAGCAGAGAGGAATATGTATTCTGGTTCGAGGGAGAACTTCCGAAGATATCGAAGGAGTATTCGAAAGGGGTGGAAGGGAGGAAAATCGTGATGGGATTGTTGGATGAGGCATACAGGGGAACAAATAAGAGGTGGAATGCGGAGACGCTTGAGTTGAAGATGGAAGAGTATAGTCAGTGTATGGGAGGATTGGCGAAGATGAGGGAAGCGTTTGTGGAGAGTGGTGCAGGGGACTTCAGGTGGAAGGGTGGGTCGATTGAGTATGAGGTGGAGTTTCACTGGAATGAGCTGTGTCGGGTGAGGGTGCATGCTGGATTGATGGTGATTGAAAAGTGCTAACTTGGATAATGTGATGAACAGGGGGCCATTGGGAACTTGGGACGGCGATGGTTTAGGGAGGTGCAGGAAGGCAATGTTGCGCATCTGCGGGTGCGACCGTACAAGGTGCCTGTGCCATTGTCAAGAAAAGTTGAAGAGGACCGGATGTCGACGTCGAATGTGAATATGTATGAGATGGTTGTGAGGGCAGTGCGAGGTACGTGTATTTGGTATTGAATTGATAGAGAGTATTAAAGTGATTTGTATAATACAGGGCATGAGGAGGTGCCAGTTGGAGTTGGAAAGGACTGTACGGATCCATGGCTGGACCCGTCGTACCGTGAAGAGTACATGGTGGGGGCAAGAGGAGAGCTATGGTTGGAACAATGTAAAGTGGATAAGGAGAAGAGTGTGCAGGGGAGAGAAGAAGGAGGTAGAAGTGGAAGAGAATTGATTGTGGAGGAAGGGGAGAGAGAGGAGAATGTAGAGGATGAGGAGAGGAAGAGATTGGGGAAGGGCATGGAGAGGGGGGATTCAGATGAGGTGTCGAATACAGGCAGCGAAGGGTTGCAGGAGAGTGAGAGTGTTGCGGAGGTGATGGGAGGGTCAGATGGAGGGGCAGAGGAGGAGAACATTATAGAGGAGGGTTTGGAGCCTCGACCTCCATCTCCACCTGGAACTCCATCTCCATCTCCATCTCCATCTCCATCTCTGTCGCTGTCAGTGTCAGCCTCTCACACTGTGCATGGAGAGGAGGTGACTGAGTTATCTGAGGAGAAGGGAGCGGTGGCGGGCATGTCATCAGACTGGAGCTCATTGACGGAGATGTCAGATGAGGAGGACAGTGAGGGAGAGTCAAGGGGAACACGGAGGAGAGGAAAGGAAGGTGAAGCAGGGATGATGAGACGACGATCATTCCGGAAGAGGAAACGTAAGTTCAGTTGCGATGTCAGCGATGTGAGGGGGTGA